TCGGAAGTAATTGGAATTTTCTGGTTTTCTTTAAAACTCTTTTAATTGCGCATCTTATCTCAATTTGACGACTGCCGTATCTTTTATCTATCCCCATCTTGGACACAGTGTATACCTTTAGTGATTTGTGTAATATGTAATATGTTGACGTGTGCTTTTCGGCATTTTCTTTTTTGAGGGAGGGAGGGGGGGGTCAAGTAAATATTAGAACAGATGGTGTATATTCCTCAGTGTACGGAGTCTAGAATCACTTCGGTTGAACGTGCAAGTGACGCAACATTCAGAAGTCTAATAATTGCTATTCCAATTATTGCTGTTTTTAAACAATACAATAAACAAAAATAGACAAACTTAAGACAAATGGAGAACCAACACATAAAAAGTGTGTGCTCTTAAATTAAGATCAACTTCAATTTGTTTTCGTTCGCTTTCATTTCGTCTTACACTAAATATTCTAAAAAAAAATTTTTTCAAGTGAAAATTTCCTCATATGTTAGTTTTAAATTTCCAAGCATAATGGTTAATGATGTTCAAATTACCAGTATATTAATATTTTTTTCTCTGAAGCTGGATGTAATCGATCTCTATTTTCCTTGTTTTAGTTAAGTAACAGCCGCGAATACGTGTCTATTAACAGTGTGTTATATGCAAGATAAGTTGTGCACATCATGCAACACTAAGATGCCATTAATTTAGAGAATTCCAATGCCTCAACAAATTTTTAAAGATATCCTCGGTCTGTATATGGCACCTTCATTCTACAGCAATGAAAAGAACGTCGCATAAGCGGCACATAATTATTGGGGCCCTGTATAGTATAACCGTTTACCTTCTTGTTTCCAATCTCTAAATGAACAACTTTTTTCCAAAAAACTTTTTTTCGCAAAAATCCAATATATAACATCCAAGAGTTTTTAGTTAACGACCTCGAGACTTTAACGCTTTAAGTTATTTTTTGTTTGTATTTTTTAATTATTTGTTTTCTAAATGAATTTTAATGTTATTTATGTAATATTGTTCTATATGTTTCATGTATATTATGTTTGTTTTATACGATTTTCGGACGAGTGTACGCATTTCTTCAATATTAACACAATAAATTACTTACTTACTTACTTAACATTACTTGATACCTAAAGTAACATTGTTATTCTAAAAACTCTAAGGAAAGTTTTTTGTGATTTTTGGCCTTTCTATTCCATTGTCAGTAGAGCATCCAGAAACGAGTTGAGAGGGGGGTAAATAAACGCAACAAATAAAAAGTAAAACGAATTAAACTTGAATAAAGTGAATTCATGGTTCAGAATCAAAACGCGAATCAGCAAGGTATAAATATGTAAACCAGTAAAATAAACATTATTATTAGGTATCATTTACATAAGTAGGTAGCACATGCCTCACCATGTACCAAGAAATAACCTCAAACTGATTGATCATGTTCAAAACTAAGTGAAATCTGCAATTATTGGCTAAGCTAACGGTAATAGTAACCTTGGTAATACCGTTCGAATCCAGCAAAAGCACTGCCTTAATGGATTATAGTAACATGAGTACTTTCAATCGTACTAACCAGTATGAATAATGTGCTGTCACCGCACATGCGCGTAGATATTTTCATTTTATTAACATTAAAATAGCAATGCACGGTACTGATTCAACAGAATCCATGCAAGACCCGTACAGTAGTCTCGATAATCTGAGGTAATTGGGGCTGGCGATACCTCAGATTGCCCGGAAAAATTAAAAAACAAATCTATTTTGTATCATACCTAGGCTAAATTTAATGTAAAATACATGTTTAAAGTTAAAGATGCATAAACGGTGTTACCTGGTACATAAAAATAGTCTTTATAGGCGTTTACGACTTTAAAAAGCAGACAATAGCGTACTGATCTATTTTTTAAAACTAGGCCTGTGAGAGTTGTAGTGTGTCAAAGACCTTCAACATGTCACCCCCTAACTTGGAGCGAGTAGAGCAAAATATTGCATTACCCACATGAAAATAAAAGGTTTTGAGTTTTCAAGTTTTTTCTTTCTTTTAAACCTCGGATTGCACGGAAACGCGGATTACCGGGGCTCGGATTACCGCGACTCTACTGTATATGGTAAAGAAATTAAATTCAGTCCGCAATTTAGGGGAGAGAAAATGGGGTGTAAATGTACCCTTTGCACTTGTGCATTTATACAGATAAATATCCATGGTAGTCGGCTTGGTTTAGTCAAGTAGATGCTGATCTATAAAAGATTCGGATATGAAAGCTTCAGCATAATACGCTAATTTGGTACAGCAGACTCAGCTAAAACTCCGTTTATTTACATTGTCAGTTAAATTATTAACATGAGACTTTAAATTTTTCATTCAATTATGTACCTACAATATTTTTGGGTATCAGACTGTACTGAAATAAGGGTATAATTTCCACGTTAAAATGAAGCAGTCATCACTTTTCTCGAAAAGGAAGCTAATCCAAAGATATTTTGAACAGTTCTCTGATTTGCTAAACTGTGTGCAACACTGGATTCTTTAGATGACGGATCTCGCAATGGTACATCCTTTATTTGCTTTTTTTCCTTTTCAGGTAAAGGCTACATAGCAATACCATTTTAATCATCCTTTGGGAAACAGTAGAAAACCACCAAGATTTACTCTCACAAAATATTTCTAACCTTGAAAAATAGCAAGCAGACCCCAAATACAAAAAATGAATTTTTAAGTCAACTTGCTTAAGTATGTGTGTTCATTACTGTTGACCCTGACTGTACATCAAAAAGTTGCTGCTTCCATCGAACTTGCTTGTGCTAGAAATTGCTCACCTTTCGAATGCAACTAATTCATTACAGCTTGAAATGTGGAAGCAATACACCAAAATTTCTCAGAAAAGTTAAATGAGTTAAATATTTTTGAATACACAGGGTGGTTCAAAAGAGAACTCTTATTTGAAACATCTGTTTTTGATGACCTAAAGGTGTGCAATAAATCTATAGGAAATTGAGACACCATTGAGTAGTATATGCAAAAATGCCTACTCCCTGAAAGTCGGGTTGAACGTCACTGTAACATAAAACGCCAATACATATATGTATGGGACAAATAACGAAAAACACTGACAACGCTTTAGCCATCCCTATTACACATCAAATGATAGTACGTCTCCTCCATTGAATTAACAAATTTCCTCCTTTGCATGTGCACATGCCTCAACCCCTCTCTTCCACTTTTGTTTAGTGTAATAGTCTCTAATTGTGCGTCCTATAAGAAACTTAAGCGCCTTCTTCTGCTAAAAAAAAGTGAGCGCAATCCAGAATCACATTTTTGTTGCATAGAAGGTGTGGGGGCATCCGATGCATAAAATCAGATAGTAACAGCATTTTTTTGGTGACATGCGCTCAAAAAGAATTCTTTTCCGCATAAACTTAGCTTTGGGGGGGGGGGGGCAAGATTCTCATTATGCTGAACGTTGCTAAGCAATTACTAGAATAGATGTTCCATAACTCTCGGTGTACATAGTGTAGAATCACTTCAGTTGAAAATGCAACTGAAGTAACACTCAGAAGTCTTAATTTCTATATCAACAAATCAGAACTCTACAAACTATCTCTGAAAAAAATTGTGAAAATGTTGGTATGATTTAAAAAAATACTTATATACCAAATCAAAATTAACAGTATCAAATAAAATGATCAAAAAATCATGTAAAAAACCAACAAAATAATAAGATTCAAGGAATGCGATCATTGGATCCACGTTTTGCTTAAACCGTCTGGCATACGAATCTATGAATCCAGAAATATTAGCAGCATTGATTTTAATAGAGGATGAAGAGATTCTGATATTCGGCGGTTGCTCTTCATACAAGAACAAACCCACAAATTGTACAAATCTAGGAACTTAGAAGATTATTATCGAAACTCACCTAAATGTTCTGAGGTTTTTTTAGGCTCAGTAGAGACCAATTTAATTTTGTATTGAAAGCTCATTAATGCTTTGGCATATTCAAAGTGTAACATGTTTATGAGCAGTCGAGAAGTCGCCAGGCCGCTGCAGCTTCCAGACAAATAGCATGAGTACCAATCGTTTTCACACTGTGGCGAAATACCACCAGTAATTTGGCATTTGTTTCACTATTACTACATGCGAGCTTGAATTGGCCTTCTTGATCATCCTCATACATTAGTTTAAAATTTAATTAATTTGGTACATTTTACAGTTATTTTAAAAGCAAATGGGGACATAAAAATTAGGTGTCTTGTCATTGCTAAAAAAACCTGACAAGGTCATCCTCATCATGAAGATAGAGATTAGATACTCGAACGCTGTTTGGGGATCTCGGAACTAAATTGCTATGCATTGTTGTACTTAGGTGTCTCATGCTCACTATTCAGACCAGGAAACCTATTAATATAGTGGTTACAAAAGGAAAAACGTCCCTTTGCCAATGCCTTACTTGTTAATTGGTGAACTTAAAGTCCACGAAAGCGGCGATAATTACGCTTTTGCGGTAAACACCTACAAACCTTTCCTAATCGCTTCGCTTACAGATTTTTTAACGAGTCCTCGACAATTGAGTTGCATGCGGATCACCATTGTGTTGGATTACTCAATCTCCGAAGCCTTGTAAGAGGGTGCATAGGTACCTTTGGAGAGTATCTTGTACCCTAAGCAACTGATTTGGCATGAGGAAATCAAAAAACAACCTTCACTTACGAATAATACAAGTCAACAGTTTAAACATTTAGTTTTAGTAACAATTACAAAAGCGTTGGGAACGCTGGGAAGTGGGAGAGTTTATTATTGCCTTTTAAGGTGTGGCTGTCACTTTTGTTGATCACTTTTAAGGCTTGCGCCCCATTATCTTTAGGCTAAAACCTTCACAATTAAATTACGCTTGCACAACCTTCTCGTTAACCAAATAATTAAACAAAAACGAGGAAAATAGCAATAAAATGTAAATTGAGGAATTTGACCTCGTATAGAGAAACGTTATCGAATTACTACTTACCTTCAATATTTAATATAATATTCTTCTTCACAAAAACTTGATTAGATAAAGAATGAATCGAATGTCCTGGAAACGAAGGGTAATTAATAAAAGACACAATTTCTTCGTTAAGAAACCCCTAAAATATGCTACGCAGTAAGGAGTACCCAATTACAAACAAAATGGCTGACAACCACTCTCTACGATTTTCTGCTGTTCCTCGCTCACTTCAGTATGGTGAAAAACCAGAGGTTTTCAAACAAATTTAGAAAAACACGCGCACTTATCAATGGTATTATCATAATTTACTAATATTTTTCTGCAATTATTACATAATTAACACCGTAACGGACGTAAAATCAAAAGTGACGTGGTGAAAGAAAAACGGGCCTTAAATTTATGCCTCGGTTAGTGCGTTAAATGAACTCGCTCGTTGTTCATGTTTTATCTGAACTCAACCTTCAAGAGTGAGCAAACTACGCCCCTTCTCTCGGGGGAGTATTTTGAAAGATTGTTATGACATTTTAATTTTGGCGTTTTGCTTCACCTTTGCCGAGCTGAGTAGTTAAAAATATACCTACATTTATAACTTTCCATCATTGCGGCGTCGCCGGCGCCTCACCTTCACTCTTGTGGCGTCTGCATAATTATAAACTTGTGACTTTTAACATGTTCAAGCAATGGCCCCTAAATTAAGCGTGCAGGAAAAGAAGGATTTGGATCGGTTCACTAAATTTTTTGTACTGAAATCTGCCCAAGTGATTGTCGATTCCAGATTAGGCAATAAAATCACCACTCAGTGTAAAACGACTAGTGAATGGGTTAGTTCCCTTCAACTTGTCATATGTCATCTAATGCCTTTTTTTTACAGTTTAATTTAGCTGTACCGGATCTTCCTGAAGTACTAGCCGAAGCGAAGAAGGCGTACAATGAAGATTGCGTGCTAACTAAGCTACCTTTGTGTGTGGAAATTTCGTTACGCACCGTCGAAGGTGACCAGATGGTATTAGAGTCGTGGTGCCTTGGTATTTTACCGGACATTTACGAATATAACAGTCCCTTTACGCAATCAGTGTATAATCGAATGGGTATCTTGTTAAAGTCGTTGGTGTCGGTTACGCGGGTGACTCCCGCGTACAAATTGTCAAGAAGACAGGGGCCAGATTCGTATATTATCTTGTATCGTATTTACGTGGGTGAACCTGTTTCGCACGCCCTCGGAGATGGGTATAAAGTAGTGCGAGTCGGACAATTGTGTACTCCTATCGGTACCTTGCATCTTACAGTGTTGTATCGTACTAAAATGACTATTTCACCCACTACGTCGGGCAGAGACAATTCGATTATGTTAAAGAGTGATCATTTTAACACCAACTTAAGTCCGCGGCATGGGAGATGTAAACAAAGGTGAGTAATTTGTTTCCCTGTAGTCTGTACACTTGCAAAATAACAAACGGCCGCTTATAAGGCTTAAGTTCAGTTTATACTGTAATAGGCGCCCTCTCCTGGCTGTCCATTGAAACACAAAGACCAAGAAACCACAATAAACCTTCCATATGCGTTTCAATCGCTAAGCTGTGATTTGGGATTCTTATTCATAGTCTTCTCCAGTGCTTTATTATGGGCTACCGCAAAAAATATGCCATGGAACCTTCATCACAAACCGAATATTTAAGAGATGGCGCTATAGTTTCTAGCATTTGAATTATTCGTTCTCTACCTTGCTGTAGTGTTTATTATTGGTACATTACAGTTAAGTATTATGTTCTTACTTCTCTGTCCAGTTCACACTGTAACTCATTTCTTAATTAGACTAGCTTTATTTTTCTCCAGCATTAGAAATTTCTTATCGATTATCGTCCAATTTCCAATGTAATTTCTCGATGTCTATATTAGGAAAAGGCCTCTATGATAATCTTGAGAGTAATGAATTAACATTGAATTCATAGGAACAACTATTTCCACCATCATAAATAAAACTAAAACATCACATGATAATTATGAGGTGAGGGAAATAACATGAAGAAATCCTAAACTTTGAACAGTTCATTAAATGGATGATGACAAGGTATTTTTTTTCTCCCTTTTAATGCGCAATAAATGTTATCTTATACAATTAAATGATACATAAATAAAAAACATTATCTTTACGATTACATAAGCATCAGTACTTAGTAGCGATTATTGCAAAATTAATTGTTTCATTGGACACCGTTTTAGAAAAGGATGCGACTAGAATAACACTATTTTTGAGAATAATTGCCATGCTTCTCCGTCACAATCGTTATTCTACAAATCGGTGTCGGGCCTCATTCAGTCTCTAAAATCACTACAGTACAAAAGTCAAAGGTCAAACATATTGTGTGAATAGGACGGAACTGGACATTTAACGCGTCATAGCGTTATGTCTGTGGACACTTGATTTTTGTTTTTGAATTGAAAACCATTTCAGTTTACCGATAAATTGATTCATTTATTTCGTGCGTCTCATTTCGATTATGATGGATCTAAATAAGAATGACAGGTGCCATTAGAATGCGCGGTGATTTGTTTTACTTACTCTACCGACTACCCTTGCGGACTGCGGACTTTATCTACTCTTAATGATAAAGAGGAACCGAGCCTACTTATTTAAATCCATTAAAATCTCAATATATAATAAAACAAATAATTATTATGGTAGTAAGCAGATTAACTGAAAACGAGTGGCGTGGATCATGATAGTGGGACGGTATCGAGTTATCGAGAGTCGAGTTTTTTGGGTTCTAATGTTGATCACATGACTATAAATTGCTTTAAAAAACCTTAAAACTTACTATTTTTCATAAAAAATTTAAACAATGTTCATTGACAAGACCCCCCGGTATGGGCCCCCCAATATTTTTTATAAGTCGGTGCCCTTGGGTAGATCATGATTTAGGGAAGAAGAAATTCAATGGGTGAACCCCCTAAGGGCAGGCAGTACAAAACGCATGCTCGCGCTACTTCCGAGGCTACTTCCTTGTCGAGTTCCTTGTAGTAGCTGGGCATGAGGTTGTTGTCATGGCTCACACAGTTCCGGATGCTCTTTTTCTCTTCCAAAGCGATTTAATCAAATTAACCTTTTTTATCCCAAATGCTCAGAAAGGTTTTGACCAAGAGACGACAAAATCGTTATTCATTTGTCAATTTTGAGGGAACAGTCTCAATGAATTCCGTGACCAGGTACATCTCTCCGTTTATCTGGATCTTAATTTAGCCCCGACAATTTTTGCACGGTGTTTTGCTCGTTTTTTATAGTCTGCTTTTGACTGTGACTATTTTGCGATGGCCTCAGTTTATTTTATGAATTGTTATGTCACGGTACTATTACATTCTACCAAACAAATTTCTTGTCAAGGACATTCTAAAAAATGTATATAACATTCCAAAGATAAAAATAATGTGGGCGGGAATTACCTAGTGATTGATAACATTGAATGAAAGCATTGAAAGCCAGCTTGCCGCACTCGTCCCCATCGGTTTGGTTTAGTTTACGTGTAATTTTCTGGTTGGCATGCTAACAAGCACGTATGTGATAATAAATGTGACTTCTGACTTTGGAGGGAGTTGGTGCGCGCACGTCACCGTCTTAATATTTTTAATACTGCTCTCATTCAAATCCCAAAATCAAGCCGGTATAATCACGATTCGCAACGCGTACTTTGTTTAAGTGATAATGCCCCACAATTTCTTGTATTGTAACATAAGTATTAGCAGTGGTGATGTGAGTAAGCATAGACCATTCGCCACATCTGCAACCTACGCAAATTCAACTTTGAATTTTTGCCCGTTTCGGTATGTTTTTGTGACAGTTTGCGTTTCATAACTTTTAATTATAACCGGTTTGTATGGCAAAGTGCATGGTACCATTTGAAATTGGCGTGACCAAAAATGTGCATGTGATCAATATGTTTACTATGCGTCAGTCACATTGAATAACAACTTCCCGGTAATGCTTAAACTTGAACAATTAATAAATTAATACCTTCACCATATTCCTTTTCCGATCACTTTGAACTGAAGGAATAATTCCAAAAATTTGGCGTACTAGTTCCCAAATGCATATTTTTAGTTAGCGCAATTCAGGAATGCTTGCGATGCATCCGTCTGTCTGTCCAAGCTCACTGCAACAATTTTGAACTACTTTGTGGGGGGGCCGTCGTAGAAATGTCAAATTTTTAGTAATACCATTGAATTTAAAATTGGTAATACCTACGACACCTCATCATCTCCTCCGCCCGTCATAAATAATCTTTTGAGGCCAAAAGAAAAATGCGACAGCGTCAAAATCATAGAGTTGTAGGTATATTACCTTCTCGTATCAAAGGCTCAATAAACTTTCTTGTTATTATTAGTTCTAACGGTACGCCTTTGCCTTGAATTTATTAATTTTGGCATTGAGCAGTTTCTAGGTTTCCAATACAAATTTTTGAATGCTACTCGAGTCCGACAACGATCGACACTTCCCCAACTTTTCCTTTTGTTGATCACCGGTATCAGACCCGAGGTAGAGTTGGTTCCAAAAATGGAATGTGTCTCTCGAAATCTTCTCTCGGGGTGTTACCATTTAGTTTGCATACTTCTGCATATTATTGCTGATTAAATTTAATATGCAAATCCATCTGAACGCTTTACTATGGGTCAAAAAAAAATAGCCGTTCGACAAATTTGATGATCAAATGAGCGCTTATTAATTCATTATTTTAATTCATTGTTTGGATGTAGCAGAAACGTTTAAAAGATTAAATGCCACTTTATAAGAGCGAACCACAAAAAATGCCCTTTTTTAGGTATTTCCGCGCTGCAACTAATTTTGGTGTCTCAAAACGAAAACCACCCAACAACATTGCATCAAAGGTTAGTATTTTCTCACTAGAAACAATTTGGCCACAAGAAAATATTTTCCACACATCCAACAGTTACTTTGATTGACCCCAAGAGAATTTTGAATAGAACTGAGTGCATAGTATTCCGTCCGTCATCTGCATTCCCGTTTTTCTGGCCATCATTTCATTTGGAACGCTGTTAACAAAATTCCCACATTAAAAAAAATGCCAATTATTAATGATTAGCTTGTTTGTTTGGAATTTCCGTATTGTTATAGACTTTTTTCATTACAGCGACGAGAAAAACACATCTCTAGAGGATGGCATGAAAGTGGGTGCGTTTGCGGTTCCAATGAAGCAGAAAATTGAAGCCGAAGTAACGATACCAGAAACGCCCTTCCGTTCCTTACTTTTTACGCGGCGAGACACGTCGAGCGCCCAGAAAGAGTCGTCGAGTGATAATCCTGCGGTCGAAAACGAAGAGCAAAATGGAAATTCGCCCGCCGAATCTCATACCTCCGATCTTACCATGATGTCAACTAACGACGACTTCATTATGGTAGACTTGGTAATTTTTTTCATTAACATGCAAAATTTCATCTAAAACCCTTCCAGATCTTTTGGTTTTTTAAATCCTCTCCCCATCTGTTTTGAAATTATTTTCTCACTTCATGCGCGTAAAATAAACGTTGATGTAACATATTTTGAGTGGACCAGAAAGATGATAAATATGAAATGAATTATTAGTGCGCGCAATTGAGCGTCACTTGTCATTTGACCTGACCAATGCCGTAAGTTGCTTAAGCCCCCTAAGGCCTTTTGTAGATAACACATACAAATGAACCAATATTTTCTTTTTTTAATCTGATAATTTCTAGTATTTAAGTAGTAGGAGATCTATTTATATCAAAAGATATGAAGATTATACTAGCTAAATCGTATTTTTTAAATCAATGTTTAAAAAATGTAATCATAACTATTACACAAACTAGGTTTAATCGTTTATAATAATAAATGAAGCAAGCCAGCACAAAAAGCTAATCTGCAATTTAGATGGGAGGAATTTCATTGTTTTTTATCTCATTCACTATCTTATCTTTTCTATTTTCAATAGTAATATCTTAAATGTTTGTTGCTTGCGCAGTCTTTGCCTTGTTTATCAAGCAAAAATTCAAAAATTTCTCATTTTTCTTTATCTAATCTGGGTATGGCGCCATGCCAAGTGGGTAGTAAATTAATAATGAAAATTCATTATCTTATAAAAATCAAATTTGAGACAATGGAATGAACTGTTTTAACTTTAAAAGAGACAAAAATAAACCGCCAAAATACGCGCATGACTTCAGAACGACTGCACCAGATTAGATAATTCTTTTCTTGTTGTTTGTTATTATCAGGGTAAGGTTTGTGTAAAAGATAATGTTTAAAAAATTGTACGGACGTATGTACGCCCCCGAAGGTTTCTGATATAGTCAAACACCCCGAAATTCCAAAGGGAACGGAAAAAAAATGAGATTTTACCGAGAACGGGAAAAAGCGGAATTTCCCAAAGGCCCGGATTAGTTTAATGTATAGTTTTGATTGTCTAATATATAATTAATAATCTATTGAGCATGGTTAAAAGTGTGTTGCAAAACGCGTTCTTCGAGGAAAATTGAGGTGATAACAGTACAAAAATAGATATTGCTTCATTGTAATTTTGAAGTCCACGCATGAGAATTATGTCCCACCTACTCCTGTGTTGGGTTTGGGTCTCTTGAGTTCTTAAGTTGTTTACAGTTGCAAATGGAAGTGGAAGAGCTGACTCTCGACCATAAAATACCTGTTTTGAGGCCAGTCAGACTAACTCATCTGCTTTCACATTACCAGCATCCCTTTGATGCATACGAACTCAAGCGTATTGCTGTTTGCTACTTGCTCTAATGGTAACATTCGAAAATCAACTTAGAGGTAATTTTACAGTGATCAAGTGCCTGCAGGGCAGTCCTGCTGTCACTGGGGATTCTGATTTTGTTCTTTATGTTGTGCTTAAGAACCTGCCTACCCTTACGGGTTTTATGTCACAGCTAAAGCCCGGGTGCCCTGTATATCTACGTACTTATACAGTGTGTCTCAGGTAGAACGCACCATATGAAAACGGCAAAGTACTTTTTCGCAAAGGATCCCTGCGGCCTGTGAAATTAGCATTCAACGTACTACTCCAATCTCTTTTTAGCATCAGACAAGCGCAATAACGTACGTTCAAATACATATCAAAGGCTTAGTGGATCCTTCGCGAAAAAATACATTAACTCTGTTTCCCTATGGTGCGTTCAACCTGGGACACACAGTATATTATACTGTCTGCAGTGTGAGTACAAGAATTTCTCTCCATTTGTTTTAAAAGGGGAAAAGTAGCGAATATTTTAGAAATCGCGACAGACATCGAGGCGCCATAAAAGATTAAGTCATCGGTGATCAGAAACGAAAGCGGATGTAACCGTTTGTATTTACGGTGGTAACAATGTGACGCATTCTCTCCGGGAAATGTGACGTGTTTTGTTCGAGAATATTCTAGAACACTCGTTTGGAAGTGTTCGAAAACGTTCGAGAAACAAGGGCGTATGCTATATAAGCAAATCGAATCGTGTCAGTCAGTCCAATTTCAACGCCGAAGTATTAAATAGTTCGCGCTGTTATAAATTGTGTATATTTAAGTGAGAAATAATATTTTAACTGTTATAACACAATTTATTTCAAGATTGTCATACATTTATTGTTAATTAATTGTAAAAATAAATCACGTAATTAAATTTACGTTAAGTAAACTTTGTTTTCTATGTCAATGTATTTATTTTGTTTTGGTAATTTCCTAAAAGTTGGTTTATTATTGACTAAAAAATCGTGTGTCTGATATTCATGCAATGGCTCATTGGCACATTGTCAGATAATAAATAAATACTATTATGTATAATTTAAAAAAAACTGGAGGTACTTTTGGAGTACACATATAAAATCATGAAGTAAATATTTACATGAAATAGTGTAAAATTTCAAAAAATTTCAAGGTTACATTCATATAATTGAAAACATTTATCTAGTAAATAGTATTATTTGCATTTAAAATTTCCCTTCTTATTCCTAGACACAATAACATAAAACTAATGGTGGAAAATGATTTACTAATGTCCCTCATTCGCGTAATTATTAATCTGCAAATTATTGGAACTTCACAGAGAAATTTGTTTGTTAACATATTTACGTAAATGTAGATAAATTCTAATTACTCACGCCTGAGTCATACAAATCTTTCGGTGTTTGCGCGTCATCCCTATTTCCTATTCGAATTATTCTAAATATAAATATCACATGTTCGTCTTATTTGTTACAGAAGACGCCGTTCGCGAGTAAAAACGTGAACGCCGAACTGGGGATGTTTTACAGGGAGTGGCAGACGGCGCCTCCGCTTCAGGCGTTCACGAATATACCCACGTTAGCGGAGCAAGTTCAGGATCTAACGAAGCAACTGGAAAACTTCGAATCGGACATGAACAAATACGACGATATGTTACTGTCCCTCTGCCACTCGCCCAACAACAATTAACTGTCAGTTTAATTAAGTTGTCAACATTTAAATTATTCTGTAGTTAGTGCGAATCTTTAGAATTTGCACTTGTGATAAATACGTATTTGTTAATGTGTTATGTCATCGTAAAGTAAAATTAGTTTAACGATTTTAGTTTGGAAAATTAACCTTTGTCAAAGACTGATGTAAAGTAAGTAATGTGCACAACGCTACGTGTCTAAAGCTATATTACGATGTTACACCGATTATAATCATTTATTTGTAGTTACGTTTATAAATTTTAATATTGTAAAAATTAACAGTCAAGTGCACCGTCATTCGTTACATTCTCATTAAAAATGTAAGCGGACTGTTCGACTATTCATATTAATTGTTTTCAGATAATGCTTTGTAATGCCGACTGGCATAATCACATAAAATGAATTAACACGGATACAATTCGGTGTCAGAATCAACTGCATATTATTAGGTAGCTAACGATTTTATAAACAAGGAAGCATGTGGAAATTATGTATTCGTTATAGAATATTGTTGCATTGAATGCTGTATAATATATTAAGCTTAGTCTTTAAGTCCTTAATTAAATTTATTGTAAGCTTGTCAGGTTTCTGGATTTTGTAATATTTCTGTCGATTTATGATACCTACTGTTTATTGAAACATTAAAAAGTCACTATTGCGTTACGCTGATAGTACATTGTACCTTTGTTGAGAAACTCGTTTCCCAAAATTTTGAAGCTGTTAAATAGTCATTTTAAAACGGTTGGCCATCACTGACGAAAATCGACCTTTTGTTTCTGTTAACGTAATTATTTTCTGATTACACACAACACAGTAGTTCAGTGGCAGAGCTTTTGGTGGAGGGTTTGTGTACGTTAAAGTACACCACAGAAATGGGGGGTTCGATGAAGTAAATATCACCCCACTTTTACATGAATGCCGGGTGGGTTTTAAGTTGTTTGACCTTATATTGCAATTATCTATTTAACGTACTGTTTTGTGGCGTGAAATTGCGTAAGAATTGTCGATTGAAGTGCAAAATGCCTTATAAACAATCAAAAAGCGCAAACTATAAGCGGTGGGTGTTGTTAGATAACAATTTATCACTCCGCTAGACCTAGCCCCCCCCCCCCCCACTATTGTGAATCAATTTAAGAATGGTATCCAATTTATGAGCTATTTAGGAGCTTTTCATATCGCAAGCTTAAAATTTTAGAGCTCGCTTAAATCCCTAGGAATCGAACATTTCTTATGGGGTGGCCGAGTCTACTTGGACTCAGCCCCCCTACTGATGAGAATTACTTTTTTCAAATTAAATTTTGTACTGGGATTACGAGCTATTTAAGAGCTTTCATTTAGAAGTAATTTCGATTTTTGAGCGCCACCATTAAAAGAGCAAATAGATATAATCGATGGGGCGGCCAGCTCCACTTGGACGTAGCCCTTCCTCTGTTATCGTTTACTTATTTCAAATTAATTTTTATTCATGAATTACGAGCTATTTAAGAGCTTTCTTTTACAAGTAATTGCAATTTTTGAGCGTCACTCTTAAAAGGGAAAATAGATAGGTACAATCGATGAGTCGGCCAGTTCCACTTGTGACTGTGTTACAGCTTCCCAGTACTTGTGTGCATCCAAGGAAAGGTCCTGAATCGACTACATATGAGTCTAATTCTGCAATTGGTGCTTTGTTGTCTGTTACTCTAAAGATTTTCCTTTTAGTAAGATTTTCTGTTAATATAATTGAGCAACTGCAGTCAGGATTGCGTATACCTCGGCTTGGAGCACGGTTGCTTTTTGTCCTAGATTCTGAAGCTCTGTCAATTGCTTCCGTACGCTCCACAGCCGGTGCCCTCCGTAGGATTTGAGCCATTTGTGTAATACATGATTCCATTCAGCTTTACCTTACTAGTATTATCCTGCCTCCCATCCGCATCGAGCGGGGATTATCATCTTAAACAGTTTTTTTTATCACAAACTGTTTTTGTTATCCTCTCAGTTATCCTACCGAGGTATTTTACTTTTAGAGATTTCATCAAAGATTAAGCGAATGCCTCACCCTTGACGATTCCTCCTATCCATTAACTCTCAGCCAGTATGCCCGTCTGAATGCCTCTGCCATAATTACCAGGTGTAGTGGCGGTCAGTTCATATATAGTCTCCATAGCTACTGTCAGAGGGATGTTATCATTGTCCTCGTAATTCTAAGGCAAGCTTTGCGATGCAGCTTAATCAGTATCTGTGTGTTCTTCTCGCTGAAGGTCTGATTCTACCACACCAGTGATGCATACGTAATAACTGGTATAATTATTTTAGTGTATATCCAGGGACCTTGTGACGTTGTTCGCTATTTTTTCCATTTGTGATTTGAAGTTAGGCGCTTGGCCGGGCGTGATGCCCAAGTATTTACCTTCTCTCAGTACCTGTAGCATTGCAACGTCCTTTAGCTTTGTCGGCCCTTTTGTATGTGAGAAAAGCTAATGAGGTTTGTTTCTGTTGAATTAACAGACAAGCCCTCTTCTTCGCACTATGTTTCCACTAGATTTAAAGCTCCTTGCCTCACAACTGATACGGTCTCCTCAAATCCCCTACGTAGGGTACTACGCAATCACTATATGTCATAGGTAAAGGCAACACTGTGGTGTAGCTCGCATAATTTAATCTCCAGCATTTCGGCTTTCGATTCTTTTGGGGTCTTCGATCAGGTTCCACTTGAGGATCCAGACGTGTGCCCTTACGGTCTTCGTTTCGAAGAATCAAAATCTCCCCCCCTGGAGCTGCTCTCGCTAGCTCTGACCTCAAGCAGTCCACCGATACCATGGATTGCGCATGTGATCAGCAGCGCTCTCCCTTGTGGCGACATTCCGTAAATTGGGGAAAAGCATCGACTCTGTCAAGGATCCAGGCTTTGATTCGCCATATGTCCTCTTACCGAGAGCCTCCTGGTTCCTGTCTCATCTTTATTAGCTTCCGGTGCGCCGCTCCGGAGAGTTTTTTATACTCTTTAATACCGGTGCTCTCGGAGTAGTTTGTTGTGTTTTCTGTTTTTTCTTGGGCCATAAGAGTGCCACGAGTAGCGTTGGGCAAAAAAATCGATTAATCGATTATAATCAAACGATAATCGATAATCGGGTTTGATTATTCTATTAAATTAATCGATTAATCGATTATTTGATTCATCGATTATTTGATTAATCGGTTATTTGATTAATCGATTGTTTGATTAATCGATTATTTGATTAATAGGTTATTTGATTAATCGATTGTTTGATTAATCAATTAACGTCACTTTAAGCAGCTAAAATGAATTAAGATTGTATCATCAAAACTAAAGCACACCTCATCGGAGAGTAAGCTGCCTAATCATTTATTTTTATTTATTTATTTTTATTTTTGACCTTCATTTTCAAATGGGCAGGGTTTCAGCCAAGGCTGTTCTCCCAACCAACCCACTATGCATTTGCAAATATCCATGCCCGAACCCGGATTCGAACCAGGGACACTTTGTTGATTATTGATTAATCGATCTGCCTAGTAATGAACGATTTGATGAGTAATGGAATTATTTTTTTTTATTATTATTAAATAATTAACGTATTAATGCATACAAACAGATATTTATCACTCCTTGTATGTGACAATCGACTTTTGATTAAACGATTAGGTGATTAATCGATGATTTGATTAATCGATTATTTGATTAATCGATTATTTGATTAAACGATTATTTGATTAATCGATTATTTGATTAATCGATTATTTGATTAATCGATTAATCAGTGTAATCGATTATTTTTCATAATCGATTATCGATTATTCAAACCCGTAATCGCCCAGCCCTAGCCACGAGTATGGAGGAAAGAAATGTCCACACGCGTCGAGCCTCCTGCACACGTGTAAGGCGCCTTAATACAACGATGTGGCGCCAGGTGCTCCAAAGTTGGAGCCAGTAGTTGCTGATCATCTATTCAGCCACGCATCTACCTACTTCGGCCCTCTGACTCTCGGAATTTCGGTTTTTACGATACAAAAAGAAACGGTTCTGGTTTCCGCAATGGACAAAGATTAATTTGTAATAAATAAAGAAAAACAGATTAGGGGCTACGCCAGAATAGACCTGACCGCTCCCAGGATGACATCTATTTGCTGTGGCGCTCTTAAATTGCAATTGCTTGTAAAAGAAAGCTCTTAAATAGCTCTTACATGCATAAAAATTAATTTGAAATAAGTAAACGATAACAGAGGAGGGGCTACGTCCAACTGGAACTGGCCGCCCCATCGATTATATCTATTTGCTCTTTTAAGGGTGGCGCTCAAAAATCGAAATTACTTGTAAATGAAAGCTCTTAAATAGCTCGTAATTCCAGTACAGTTTAATTTGAAAAAAAATAATTCTGATCAGTGGGGAGGCTTAGTCCGGCCAAGTAGACTCGGCCAGCCCATAAGAAATGTTCGATTCCTACAGTGATTAAAGCGAGCTCTAAAATTTTAAGCTTGCGATATGGAAATCTCCTAAATTGGATACCAGTCTTAAATTGATTCACAATGGTGGGGGGCTAGGTCCAATGGGGTCAAATTATCAGCTGAAGGGGGTGACGTTATTATATGCAAATAAACCAACTAAAAAAAACCCAACAACACAAAATCAGACGTTTTGCAGTAAAGGAGCAAGTACATGCCTATTTCTGTTTAATTAGTTACATTTTTAAAGACAATTTTTAAGTTTTATTTAAAAAAAAGGAAATTGTAAATACCTACAGCAATTTATCTTGCTCATGTAAACCCGTCAAAATAAAAATCAAGATTTAGTAACAAATGCAGTTGAAAATATGAACAGCAGCGGTTCACAGAAATAGACATTTTCTTTGGAACTTTGATTTCTGCATAAACTAAAATATGCAAAACATTCCAAAGCTTTATGGGAAAGTATACCAACCAAAGCATACCAGATGAATCTACCACGTGCAGACGTGTTACTGATGAGTTAAACTAACAATTTTTAATTTTTTCAGGTTATTAAAGAAGTCAAAAAAGAAATAGGAACCATTTATATTTGGACAAATCTGTAGATGAAACAACTGATGTTCAGGGTCGATACATAGCCACCTTAATTGTCGGGGAAATTAACTCCATGTGCCATTAAGCGACGTGGCACCTTATAAGTATATGCTAAAAGCCGCGCAGGCCCTATAAATGTTCTACCCTAAGCCTAGCACACGCACTGCACAGAATTTAGTGCTTAATATCGTAAAATGGGGACTTGGTACACTTTGGAAAGAAGCAAATACCATAAAAAGCTCTGCATTGGGTCTGGGACTAGGAAGCTCTAAGGGCACTAGAACTATTATAGAGAGCGCTAATTGAATAATCATGTTCAACACATCGAGTCTCTATCTAGTTTCTAATTATAAAACAATTAAAAAAAAGTCATTCATATCGTCTCAATGATTTAATAATAGGAACTATTTGTTTGCGAGACATTTTTACATTGTTTTGCATTAAGTATGTAATATCTGGAACACTAACTGTATCCTCTGTCACGCCTAAATCCAAGTTTGCCTTCAGACTGTTGACCAGTAACTCCCTTGTTTCTTTATCAGATTTGCTGAAAATTGCAATATCCCGAAAAACTTCATCACCGACAACCTTTAATCCCATCACGACTACAGTTGCACGTTGGGTTTCATCACAAAATGCGAGCAGGTGTTCGTGAACATCTGAAAACTGTAAAAATTCGCGTACAAGCATAGGTAATCCAGCCACAGGGAAGTCATCCACAAATTTCAAATCTTTAAATAACAACTGTCCAGGAGTTAAACTGCTGATGTCGTTATGGACATTCCATAGTTGATCAAAGCGGTGTTGAGGTATACAACTTATACCAAACTGTTGCTGAAGCTGTTTAGAAACACTAATGTCTAGCTCACGCGCTTTTTGTGCTTTGGCACTAAATGCAACTGTATCAAATATAATTACATCTGTAACTTCACATTGTAACAAAAGTAAATAGTGCAGTTCTGTCTTTTTACCGTGCAGTAATTCCGCGAGAGGGCCTGTTAAGATGTCGTGTGTTAAAAGTTTCTGTGATATTAATGTGGCGCAACTACCAACTTCTTCGATTACAAGACTTGCTATGTTGGTATTCCAATTGGCAGTCGGATCACGAGGTCTGTGATCGTAAACCTCTATCACTGACTGCTCTAGAAACTTATCTTCATCTCGTAGAACGTGATGATCTACAATGCTTACTGATAGCTGTCCGCCGTTTTTGATTGCCTCAAAATCCAGTGAATCCCTAAATAATTGCAATTGTGATCAAGTTCAGAATTTAGTTCAAAACCTGTTGCACATCATATCACATATCTAGGGAGGGGTGCTTGGTAGTAGCAAAAGACAGATGGCCAGGTTACTTTTGTAAGTTTGGTAACATTGATAATATGATATGGAACAGGTTCTAAACTTGCTCATTAATTACCGAAACAGCAAATCAGTCTCAGTGATTCCAAATTGTTTCAAAACATAGCAATTCTCAGTTCGTGACACAAAACATTTCATTGGTATATTTAAAACTGGTAAAACTGTGCAACATTGGTCAGCATTCGACCGTTTATTCTTGATCTGATGATGGTAGTATGCTAGCCCGAAGGCGCACACCATTGAATCCAAGTCGCAAGATTCATTTCCTATGACTAAATGTACCGGAGTTTTTGTCAAGTCTGTTGAGGCCTAAAATGGGTATGGATAGCAATGAAGCTGTTTGTGTACTACTACTGGCAATTGGTTTGCGGGTTGTCAGTAAACGGAGCGTAATCTAATTATAGACATTCAGTTTGTAAATGATAAACATGGAAGAGCTCCACTGTTTACTTGCAACAACCAAATGAATTTTAAACAGTTAACTTATGGATAAGAATTAATGACAATTAGTGCAGTGAAGGTCTATAAGCCTGTACGGAGTAGCTGAATGTATCGAACAGCGGAAGGTTATCAGGACTTACACACACTTTTCTGACGTTTAATACAAAGTCTACAAAATCATCCATCACATTTGATTTGGATAATGTACTATTTCATAATGCACCAAACCTAAAAATGTCCATTAGTTTAAGTACTAAGAGGCGATCGAAAATGAGTGGCAGTCATGTTGCCTTTGGAAGTACAAGTTAAGTACGATTTCCCATGTAAACAAAAATTCCAAAGGTGACTTGGAGCAACTCATTTTTGATCGCATAGTATAACCAGTGAAGGTTGGTCAACTACCTACCGATTAGCTATCTTGATTACAGATAGTGCGAAGGATTACATCCTCCAGATACAAATGCAGCACTTCTGAATTCTGATTCTATCATTTATCATTACTTATAAAAATTCCATTGACTTACTAACAGATAAACATATTGCAAAAAACAATAACAATTAATAAAAAAGTTCCTATTGGGAGCTGTCATAAGTCATCTATTGACGTACCGGCGAACAAACAAAAGAGAATCTAGATGGCGGCAAGCATAAAACTGCAATTTAAAAAATAGAGCTTTATTTGTTTGATACACAACTTGTGAAGGTACTTATTTGGTACCTAGGTACAAGCATTGATTCAAAGGTACAAGTTACCTAGGTCACAACGCTTGCTTGGTTTTATAGTTTGAAAGATACGATTTTCAAATACAATACAAATATACAATGTGCTTTTACGAGTCGCAATTACTTCTAAATGCACTTAACTTAAAACGGACAGAAGTCATACACCTATCTACATCTTGCATTAGCACCAGCCGAATTACAAGTGAATGTGCATTGTTTATATTTATTTATGAGTAGGTATAGATAAAGATTTTTTGAAAAGCTACGCGGACCAACTCTTCCTAGATAGTAGATACGCCACTGCCATTGGGTAGGGGTCATTGTGGTAGGGGTACTGTTTTTTTTAGCCACACTAGCACCACATGAGACTTGTTTTGTTTTGGTAGTGTGAATTGTGCTCACAAACAACAAAAGGTGATTTTTCTTTATGATTGTAATTAGGAAAGAGAATAGTCAAGAGGTAGGAATGGATTGGATCCTCGGCCCATAGACACTAAAAAACAAAAACAGTGAATTCAAAATTTGGTAGAAATGGCCTCAAAACCGGAATTTCCATTGGATGCAGTTGGAGTAAATGGCCCAACTTACCTCAAGCATGCCTTAACAAGCTGTACGGATCCTCTCAAAGCTATTGAGGAGTTTCAGGTTTGTTTACGTACTCAAACACGCCCCCTCTTTAATTTTTGCATAGATCGCCAACGGCATTTTACTTCCATCCCTGCGACCAATGCTACCCCTACTGGATCTTCACGGCGTTCGTCGACTGGACTTTCATACATCCGTGGTAGAGGTACGTAAATTCGAAGCGAGTACGCGCTGTCACTCGAATTTCAGGAACTACGAGAAAAGCTGATATCGCACATTAACGAAATGGGCCAAAGGGAGGGAAAAGAACGCGATCGTAAATTTAAGGAGCTGTTAGTGAAAAGCTTTCCGGTAGTAAAAGTAAAAGCTCTTCGTCCAATTGTGATGTGCATTTTACGAAATACAGCGCAAATTGACGATCAATACCTCAAGGTGTTGGTGCGAGATCGCGATTTGTATAATGATACAGATACGGAGGTGAAACGGCAAATTTGGAAAGACAACCAATCGTTATTTGGGGATGAAGTATCCCCCTTGTTAAGTCAATACATCAGTGAAAAGGAGAATATTCTCTTTGATCATCAGAACATTACCATCCAATTCTTTGGCCCTTCGCCCAAAGTGAGAAGGCAGGGTGAAGTCGTCCAGAAATTGGCTCATATGATCGGCAGCAGCGTTAAGCTATACGACATGGTCTTACAGTTTTTAAGAACTTTATTTTTACGTACCAGAAATGTTCACTATTGCACACTACGAGCAGAGCTTTTAATGGCACTGCACGACTTGGAAGTCCAAGATATAATATCCGTGGACCCGTGTCATAAGTTTACTTGGTGCTTGGATGCTTGTATCCGAGAGAAAAACGTCGACATCAAGAGATCTCGAGAATTGCAAGGGTTTCTAGATAATGTTAGAAGGGGTCAGGAGCAGGTTTTAGGTGATTTGTCGATGACATTATGCGATCCGTACGCTATAAACTTTTTGGCAACATCCGCCATCAAAATCTTGCAGCATTTGATTAACAATGAAGGAATGCCTAGGGTGTGTTAAATTTGACTATTTTTTGGTGATTGGTTAATTAATTAAACCCAGATCAGTTTAAGATTACATTCTTTGACCCACAGCATTTTTCTATATAAAAAATACAAGATTCTGGGAAAGGCGGCTACGCCAGGCATATAGCAAAGTATCAAGTAGAATATTGTCAAATGAAAAACACACTTTTAATGCCACAAGACTCTCTTCATTACTTAAAACTATTTTCTCTAATTTCCAAGATAAAAGATGCCCATTCTTTTTAGTGCTTCAGTTCTATGCTGGTTATTGATGTACAGAGTGGTTCAAATTCGTGACTCATCATTAGGATCTCTGTAGTAGTGAGAGATACAGTGTGGGTTAAATGGGGGCAAAGTTACCCCTCTTTGTGACCAAAAAAACATATTTGAAATTTTTGAAAAATCTTCAAAATAACATATTGAAAATTTCATTTTCCCTTCCTTCTTCCCTCCCTTCTACAGGCACCTGTTTTTTTTAATCTGTTATAAGAATTTCCAGAACACGATAGATGTAGAAGCTACAAGCTCCTACTTTCTTATTTCTTATGGACGCCATTTTGGATTTTTAAGGAATGTGAGACAAAAAAAGAAATTCATTTAAATACATCGCCATTATAGCCATGTTGATTCAGCATGATCTAGTTACCCCATGAATGTTTTGTTGTCAAAGGAATCTTGAAATTTTTCTTGTAAAAGTGTAGAGTGTGACACGTCATTATTTTTCTTTTTTGGCTTCTTATCTCATTCCCTAAAAGATCCAACATGGCGCCCATAAGAAATAAGAAAGTATACGTCTTTCGCTATAGAAACCGTTGCACGTCATTGATTTGTGTATCAATTTTAGACATATGCTGCAACACTGCAACATGTACAAAAAAAAACAAGTGTGCGAAATCTATAGAAAACTTGTCTGAAATTGATTCATAAATCAATGACGTGCACCGGTTTTTATAGCGAAAGACGTATAGTACTCTGTAGCTTCTACATCTAGCGTGTTACGGAAATTCTAATAACAGATTCATATTCTCTTCTCCTTTAATTTCATCTGGTAATCCTTCTGTTCGGTAGTCATAAATTGTACTTGTGAAGTATTGTAAAACAAATGAAATCACTTCTTGTTCTTAAACTGATCTGCATTAATCCAAAGGTGACAATTGAAATTGCATTTTGTATTGTAAAAATTTAAAAAACCACGTGTTCAAAATATTGTATATGCACTACTAAATTTTAAATAATGTGATGAAATGGCAGACATATAATTTATACTTATTTGTAGGATAACACAATTTTAATTTTGTTGCTACGTATGTTGGCCTTGGGTTTAAGCGCCTGGGTGATGATCGATTCTCAAGATTTCAAGGAGCCCAAACTGGACAGTCAGGTGGTTACAAAATTTTTACCGGCGCTGATGTCGCTTATGGTAGACGACCAGGTACGGCACTTCTCGGGAAAATTGCCGCCGGATGAACGCGAAGCGGCAATCACAACCATAGAGCATTCGGGTCCGCTTCCCGACGCCGTTGAAGCCTACCTGCAAGAAAGTTCTGTTGCTAGTATTCTAGCAATGTATTACACATTGCATGTAACGAAGCACAAGGATCGCGTTGGATTGCTACGCATATTAGCAGTTTTAGCAAATTGTAGGGACGATCGAGCATTTGAAGATCCGTTCCTCCACTCAATGGTACACACGGACAAAGCCAGGTGGCTTAAAATAATACGTTTGTTTCAGGTAACTCTCTTAATTCACATGACTGACGAATTTGCCACCGCCGATTTTTGTACTGGATTATTTGACGAATTCTTTTTCGCCGGACTTACAAGAGACAATGTGACTCGACATTTGCTCAAGCTGCTATGGTATATTTATCCGAGATTGCCACCTAATCGGTTGCACACGTTGCTAAAGGCACTGCAGCCTACGAATCAGCATACAGAAAAAGTGCACAGTCTGTACCAAAAGTTACAAGATAAAATAAATGCCCAACAGGAACCTGTAATACCTCTCGAAATGGACATTGATCTTAACTCTCCGCTTATGAGTGTACCCACACCCGCTCCTTATCATCATGTTATCTAGACTGTGAATTTATTAATAATAAAATTGGATAATTATTCATGTGTTTAGCCCCACCTCACGACTTCACCAGACCTCTTGACCTGGTGTTTGTATACCGAGGGTTCTTGGACTAATGCAAGCTGTGTCTTTTAAATAGTATGCACTTAGGGCTGCCGTGACTGTGATGAAAGTTAATCTGAAGTATTTTGTGCTAGTCTTTGCCATCCCTGGAATTTCCTTGGCCTTCAGTTTCTTTGTGACTTTGAAGATGACCCTAGAGAAGTTCAAATGTGGACAATGCTCAAAGACTTCTCCTCTGTTTGGTCCTCATTTCGGTCCATTGCTCTCCACTTCCTGGTGGTAACGTCCGAATTTTCTTGGTAATGAAAAATGTATTGCATGTAATATTACACCGAGGTCAAAATGTTTTGAAAATGAGGCCGAAATTCAAAAAATGACGCATGCCCATCGATGAGGAGTCACATTTCGATTTAAATGCGTCCTCAATACGAATAATAATGGCGGTAATCTCGACGTACCGCCACTGGTTTTTTTTACATAAAATTGCATTTAAAAATTTTTATTCTTTCATAAAAATCAACGTTTAAATTCCACAAACGAAGCTCGAGTACTGCGCTTAAATTTTAATACAAATCACCCCCGTGCGACTTTAAAATATTGGAAAGATTGAAAGGCAAGTGGTTGTAGCATTGTATTTATCAGTGCGTGTGGGTAGCTTGTTTGAGAAATGGCAATTTTGGTCAAAAGTGGAATGATCGCAGTACGTAACGGTTAAGAGAAGACAGCAGTTTATGGCCCAGAAAATGGATTGTAACTCATTTTCGTCGAGCGATTTAATGTGAATTAGAGAGGTTATATGTGTTGATTACAGTATAGGTTATGTTTCCAACTTTCATTAGTATTTTAGGTGTGTAATGCTTTTTTTTCAATTTATTTCCACTTGTTGTAATGTTTGTTGTTGTAGATATACAGTCATGGTGGGAAGTACCGAGTATAGCACATTTTTGCTCATTATTTCGTACAGCCTTTAATTTGTTAGACTTCGATATCGAGGTATTGCGACGATCTCCGAGTGTCTCACAGTAATTGTATGATTATAGGACCTAGAAGAAGCTCTCCTAACAGACGGTACCGAAGAAACCTCGTGGCTTCAGGAACTTATTGTTCGACTGTTAACAGGGTGTCTCCCCAACAATGAAATCTCTACGTTTAATTATCAGATGTTTTTAAGGAGATTGTTTCGGGAGAAATGTAAAGAGCATGATCGGTATAATCCGTTTAATACAGACATAGATTTTCAATTGTTACCCTTACGAACAAAGGTGGATATTTTACACGCGTTGTGCGATTTTCGGCTCGACGCGGAAGATGTGCTCGAACAACTGAAAAATCTCGAGGCAGACAGTTTAAGGGTCGAACCCCTGGGCTATGACGATAATAAGTCTGCTTATTGGTACTTTTACGGGACAAGACTGTATAGGGAGGATTTTAACGTAAAAAATAATAGGAAGGGGAAGTCCGTGTGGCAAGTTGTGTGTTTTACAGAGGAGGATTGGTTTCAACTTGCCAAAAAGTTTAAGGAGTCTACGTCCAAAGCTGAATGCCAGCTGTATCACACACTTACAGAAAATTTTCTTCCCGAGTTACCCAGACTTTTTTGTGAGAAAGAACAACTCGCAAGAAAACGGTTACTGGACAACCAACCAAGAAGGACATCAAGTAGGCTTGATACGAAACGGAAGCAGGTATATAGAATTTTCATTAATATTAACCCTGTTGTTAATCCCAATGCTATATAATCTGAAGGCCTGTCTTTCATATTTAAATTAAATTTAACTGACAGTTCATTTCCATAGGAATGGACAATTTAATTAGGAACCTGGGTTTCTCCGGTATATCAAAGCTTGACACTTGCATTTTACATGTGCTACTGAGGGGTCAACCAAGGAATAAAACGTCCAGGGATTCCCGTATTTGGGAATACTTAGTCAATTTTCAAGTATTCTTTGATATTCCCGGATATTTTCAGGCAGTTATGACTATTCCCTGATCATTAAGTGGCAGAGCAAAGCGATGCAAGCCTTTTAGGAGTAGATGGTGTCTGTCTGTCTGTGCACAGGATATCTGGCAAACGCATGGACTGATTCGTTTCAAACAGTTGAGCTATATGCCACATGTAACAAGCCTATTGAAATTGGGTCAAATCCAATAATAATAATAATATATATTAATTCCCAAGACAAATTTTGAATTGTATAGGATACGTCAGACAAAAAAATACAATTTAAAAAATGTTGGTCATAAACAATACAATGGACAAAAAAGCAAGAATGCAATATAAATTACACTAGAGACTTTAAGGTTACACCGCTTTTCTGGGTCTGCTTTCCACATGGTTTATTAAAAATATTCCTAAGCGTTTTTCTTGTATTCTCATTGCTATTTTTATTAATGAAACCAAAAACCTAACTTGTTAGCAGGATCATCTTGTTTGAGAAATAGTTAATCGGAAAATCTCTCCACTTGCAGGTGTCCTATTTTTGACATTTTTAGATCGTATCTCCGTAATTGTTAGTGGTATCAAAAAAGTAATATTGGTGTCTTGTTCTCTTTTAAGGTCAAACTTAAAATGGTAAAATCAAAATTGGGAAATATTTTCTCGCTTTAGAGATATGGAGGAAAATTGAAAAATTGTCAATTTAGGAGATACAGAAAAATGTTTACTACACAAGTTTTTTTATAATGATTATTGACTAATCTGCCGTTTTCAAAACAAGCACACAGACTCACCTAACCTCATTCTTTAACTCGAACACCCTGTATATTTTAATCTAAAAAAGGTAGTACAGTGGCACCACGCTCAGAAAGTCCCTGACAGGGCGTGTCCGAGGGCGCTAGAAATTTAGACGGTACATTCTGATGCAAAATTTAAAAACACTTTAAGGGAATTACATACCTTATCAGATCGTATATCCAAGCTATATCCCTCTTGAAAAAGACGAGTTTGTATAAAACTGGAGACGGAAAACGTAAAATAAAGCAAATACAACAGGAATAGTGTAAACTAAAATAACGTGAAGCGTCAACTGTCAAAAGGGAATAATTAATAATTATGGCGCGGAATGTATCGCGTCGTTTTGCAGACTTTCTATTGGCCAGTTTGATTTATTTCAAAATTAGTTCACATATTTTCCGGGGCTTTTCTGACATGGTGGCACTGTATATTAAAATCTCTTCAAAAATATAATTCACAAGGGATGATATTAAAAAAAGATTCAGGTGATTTTAAAAAACTCAAAAAGGATTCCAAAAGATTTACACAAATTCAAAATGATTTTTGATTTTTTAATTTAAAAACCATTTTTAATCAATATTCAATTTGTTTAGTGTTATATTTTTGAAAAGAGATTTTAATATGCTACCTTTTTATATTAAAATATACAGGATGTTCAAATCAAAAAAAGAGGTTAGGTCGGATAACTTTTAACTGACTTATTTTGAAAACAACATTTTTATACTCGATACTATACAGGGTCGCTATTAAAGGTGGAACAGAAGCTCTCACGCTCAAACCATTTGAGATATAGACATGAATATCTTTTTGACATTACTTCACATATTTAGAGGTTAAAGCAATTTGTTTGCGGACGCCATCTTGAATTTTTTTATTTAAAATTAGTGATTTCCTCCAGCAATGAACGCGTTACCATGCTTTGGAGGGCATGTAAAGCTGGCAGTCAAACCACGACTGTGGTAGGTCACACAGACGGCTGTTGATGTGACCTGTATGTACCTAAGGAGTGCCACCCATACAATACAATACAATAGGCTTAGTATGTGTACCGGTTTTATTCTCTTCATCATCACTGTTATTACCTTGTGAAAATGTGTATGTGGGTCGGATATATTTCGATTCTCGATTTGAAGGCACAGAGCCTTTTTCATCTTTTGATGTTGATTGTGACATGTCAGTATTTGAAATATTATGTAATTCAAATTAACAAATTGCAATTAATTTTTTGGTAAAATCGAAACTCGTTTCTGAACAAATGAATTATATAAATAAAAAAGAACAAAAGAATACTTTTGAATGAAGGGACATCATAACAATCACTAAGTTGTGTAAAGTAAGGTGTGAGCAAAAAAATTTTGACTTAGAGAAGGCTGTGGAAATTTTAGGTGACGTTTAAAGCTGCATTCACAACCTCCAATTAATGTTTATAATTAATGAGTGAAATTATTTCGTTAACTTTAAGCAAAGCAATCATTCGCAATGCCTGAAATTAATACGTGAATTAATGTTTAAGCAGTGTCGCCACCTATTATCTGCGAGGCAATGGTTAATGTTTATACAACAAGTTTCAACATAACCTTGTAGCGCAGCACAAGAATCAGTGTTTGTGTTAATAGTGTCTTTTAACTGTAACTAGCCTTATCCTAAAGTGGCAAGATACTTTTTTCTGTTCGCCACATTCATGTTATGTACAAAATCAAAACAGGGTTATGTCGGCTGTCATATAAAGGCACGCATGCGCACCTCTGTTCATTTCCGTAAAATTAAGCGACAAAGTTTGCAGTTTGCAAAATTCTGCGTTAAGTATTAATTTCGACGATTAATTTTCTATATTGTGAATGTACCCTTAAAATACGTAGCTTTAAACATTTACGTTCATTTTCGATTGTTAATTGTAGGTATTAATTTTGAGGTTGTGAATGCTACTTTAAATTAACTAATTTGACAGGTTGCGTTAAAAAGATTACACATGACCATACATCTATCTTCTCATGCATATTGCGTAGTTTTTCTTTGTACATACAAATTCGAAAAAATTAGAGTTAATTACGAAATATATATGTGGGTGCATTTGATTTGTTTTTAATCATAACATAGATTAGCTTTTGTGGAAATTATTTAGTGGCGGGAAACACATCTTCGTGAAAAATATGAATAATAATAATAATTTAAATAATAAAGTTTCTTTGCAAATTTGTATTGTTTTGTGTGACTTCTTCCGTATTGAGTGATCATAATTGAAATGAAGAAAGTGGTAATCTATTTCTCTTCTTCACAGGAACATCATGATTCAATCACAGCTTTATCTGTCTAATAATTTTTCTTGCTTTCCACAAATTGGAAAATCATAAGATATTCTGGAATCTATAAGATATCATTTTTGGGACCAGATTTCTGATTTTGTAAGAAAACTTTAAAAAAAGTATGTTTTTAATATGAAAATCATTACATGGTCAATTTAAGATAACTTATACATAATTAGATACTCCACTTCATTCATATTTCTTGATAACTTAATTAAAATGCAATAAAACCCCAACACAAACAAATACCAACGTAATTTACGCGCCTTTTGTGTGGAATTTAATTACCTGTTAAGTGGGAAGAGTCGCTCCGTTTTACCATATTATTATTACGTTTGATGCGCCTGCTTGAAGAAACCGACTGAGCATGATGTGGAAGGTGGGAGCCACGTTTGTTGCCTATGGTGCAGGGTTTACTTATTCGGCAATCATGTAAAACGATTATTCTACCTCTTCATGTACGCGAAAAATTAATTATAAAGATTCTGTTTTCACGAGTTTTTAGTCTAGTAGCCATGGACTATGATAAGGAAAAACATAGTCCATGACTCAAACTCAAAACTGAATCATACCTCCGCTCCTGATCAACGTGTTATATCGCGGTCTCACTCGTAATTTTTAAATTAAAATTGTTACTCTGGATTCTATGGTTAATCCTTCCTCAGCTCAATACTGAATCAATATAAACAATTTTCCGGAATGCCCCCCTCCCCTCAATTTCTTACTGATTAATGAACGCCTACAAATTAGGTTTTTATTAACAAAAGCGGACATCTTTAATCGTTGATGCGTTTGCTTCATTTTGCACTTCCAATGAGATAAAATCCATGTCAATAAATCATTCCCAAATATGATCAACACATGCCGAGTTCGCAGTTGTAATCAAATAGCCCCCACCACTCATCTCCAGACATCTGGAATCCATTAAGAAATCAATGCTGTACAGATATTAAAAGATGTGGAAATTCCACCAAATGATAAAAAATTTATTCTTACAATTCCACTAGTCAAATTCACAAATAAATACGGCAGAATTTTCTAAAATGGATCCTACATTAGACATAGGTACTTCACCTGTTTTTGGATTATCTGTCCATCTGTATCTTGAGTAAGTCTAGAACTAGTAAATCTTTTCCATTCAATCGACTCTTGGGATATTCCCATTTCAGTTTATTTATTTCTCTGTACTACTACCACTCCAATCACTTCTTTCTTTCTTATCATTAATGGTTTTTTTTTATAAATGTAGGAAACCGAACGTGCAGAAAAGGTGAAACTTGAAGCTGTGTTAGACAAGGAAAAAGAAGAACTAAAACGCAAATTAGAATCGGAAAAGCGACGGCAAGACGCGTACGAACGAAGATCTCGTTTACGCGAACAGGACAACGAAAGTGACAATTCAGAAGCTCGGTATGAAATGGCTGGAAATAAAAAACCCGAGAAGAAAGAAAAGCAACGCCATAATTCGAGCAGTTCGAGCAGTAGTAAAGGTAAGCCGGAACGGGGTAAAGTCGATTTTTACCACTCGCATTTTTGCAGATTGCGGTTCGAGTGTCACTCGATCGTCTAGTCAAAGTTTGAATCGGGCCAGTAATGAAATATCCAGCAACGTTAAGTCGAGCACGGCTAGTGCGACTACTGTCGGTAGACAAACAAATAATTCTTTAGCTTCGGCAACGGGACAGATTGTGATACAACCGGTGTTAAATACAAATCGGAAGAAGTTGAAGACGTCATTAGTGTAAGGGTTTGTCGTAGTATTTGTGAGGTCGTTTTCTGCAATTGGATTATTAAACTATAGTCCTCTTATTTTACGGTTGCGTGCCGGTCGGCTAACTTGTTCGTGGGGCGGGGGTGTCTGAGGTATTAAATGAATTGGTAGAATTTCAGAATACTTGGTAAGTTTGTATTTAAGGGAAGAATATAAAACAAGGCAACATTGTTTAATTTAATCAAATTGTCACTTGATTCGAGCTTCATTTATCACATGTGATTTTTGTTGAAAACCATCAAAATTATTAAATTGTGGTATAATAATAATAATAATAATAATATAAATGTATTAAGGGATAGGAGAAGCCATAAGGCCATTAGTATCCCCCCTCTACAAACTTGGTGGCATCAGATATAACAAAACAAGTTAACAATACTATGAAATACAAAGTAAATATAACAAAAAAAAAAGTAAGTAAAACAGTATAACAAGAAAAACGAAAACATAATAGCTCTCTACGTATAAATTTACACATTAAACATCAAAAAAACATGTTCAGAGTCCTGCAACAAACAAAAAACGTGCGATCGAAACCATTACAGGACCTGGTGTGTCTAACATCTTCTGGCAGCTTGTTCCACAATTTGGCCGCTTGTATATAAAAGGACGATGCTCCAATGCTTGTCTGAGCCTTAGGAATATAAATATTTGAAGTCCTAGTACCGTAACAATGGAAACTACTGAGTGCCCGAAAGTTTGTGTAGAGATAAAGCGGTATTCGATTAAGAATGATTTTATGCAAAAGTCTTAGCATGTGGTATATTCGATTAGTTCTCAGATTTAGCATATTATGATAGTTAAGTATAGGTTGTATATGATCACTATGTTTAAGATTACACACAAAACGTAAACAGTAATTTTGAATTTTTTGTGTTTTATAAGACAATTGTTTTTTCCCTGATAACACACATCACCATATGTTAAATGAGGTAGTATTAATTGTTTTACCAGCTTTAGTGTAATGTGTGTACACAAAAGATTTTTAGCCTTATATAAAGTTCTCAGTTTATATAGTGATTTTGAGCAGATAATGTGAGGTTCCCAGGTTAAAGTTCGATCCAGAGTTAAACCAAGGACTCGCGCAGAGGTTGCAAATTCTACACAGACACCATTTATTTTCACAGCTTGTGTTTGTTCTTGAAAAAATCTTTGTATGCCTTTTTTGGTACCGACTGGGATGATTATAGTTTTAGCAGGGTTCAGTTTAAGATTATTTAGTGTTGCCCACACATAACCATTAAGTCACAGTTTAGTTGATTAATATGCTCATTGAGACCCTTTAATGGTACATTTTTCAAAACTTGTATATCGTCTGCATACTGATGTATGTCACTGTATTTAATGTATCGGTGAAGATCAGAAACATATATATTGAATAGCAAGGGACCTAAAATGCTACCCTGCAGGACACCACATTTAATGCTTAGGGAGTCAGAAATCAAAATATTACCATCAGACACTATTTTCGTTCGTTGGTTTCTATCAGAAAGGTAGTCTTTAAACCAGTTTCAAGTATACTGTAAACAGACATGGCTGCTCTTAATGATTTAGAGAAATGTTGAGTGGTTATCTTGATTTTATCTTATCTCTTCTAGATTTCGTCAAACTGATGAAGATCTTCAAACAGGTATGCATAAAATTTTAGATTACGTGAAAAACCACGAGGACGCTTGGCCCTTTGTTGACGCCGTGGAGGAGGAATATGCACCCAATTACTACTCGGTTATTCGTAAGCCGATGGATCTTCAAAGAATGGAGGACAGACTCGATTCTGGATACTACAAAACATTTGCACGTTTTCGAGGAGACTTCCAACTGATCATCGACAACTGTCGCCTATACAACGGGGTCGATAACGGTAAACACTCCCCCTTATAATTCGCAGCCTACAACCCTTGACTTTTGTAGAGTACACCGAGATGGTCGGCAACTTACTCACAGTTTTTGAGAAGGCCACAGAACGCTATCTTGATCAAGTGACCTCCTCGGATGACGAAATAGCAGTCGAGTATCCCGATACCGACTTTGATGATAAATTGGACAACAAACACAAAACTATCAACGACGTGGCAACTATACGTAAACCGACGTTAGCTGCGCAAACCGACAAAAAACGTCAGCCGTCGGTTTCGGACGATTCTGTTAGTAGATGTAGTAACTCGGTTGATTTTTCCGAAGCTAAAAATAAAAAGAAGGTTTCCAAGGTGAAAGATGACGTCAAATCAAAGAAAAGTACAAAACAGAGCCGGAAAAAGAAGAACACTAAAGGGAGGAGAAAATCTTCAAGATTAGTGCAGAGTCCTATTAAGAGTCGAAGTAGAAGTAGGAGTTTGAGTAGTTTCAGTCAAGGTGATTGGAGTGATAGTCCGCCACCTTCATTTCCTCCTTCTAGTCCGGAGAGTGTCTATAATCCAGTTGCGAGGAAAAGTAAAAGCTCCTATTTAAGTGAAGAAGAAGCACATGTGACGTCTAAAGGTAACTACAATAATGTGGTACTTCCCCGGGGCTGAGCCTTACAGGGTGATCAGGGGGGGGGGGTGCTACAATTTTGACACAGGTCACAAGAAAATATCACATTTATATAACATAAGAAATATGAGGAAATAAAGTTTATTATTATTATTTTAAAAATGTTTAGGACAAATGTAGTAGATACTGTGGGGATTTTATGTTTTACTTTCAAAAATCAATGAGGTGGTTATCAAAAAATGTTTTTTTGAAAATTTTAATTGATCGCTATTTTATGCAGATACAAATGTTTTGGAGAACTGAAAGATAGTTTTGAAAATTTTTGTTTTCAATAGTCCTGGAAATAAGAGAATTTCGACGATTTTTCAAAAAACGCTAATAACTTCGAACCGAAACACCAAATCAAAAATTGGAACTACGAAAAGTTATTTGTTTTAATGAGTTCTAACTGCCGTTTTCGGGTGTAACACCCTGTATATATGTATACAATATGTTCATATAAGAAAAATAAATATTACTTGGATTATCCGTGCTTTGCGATTATCTATGCTTCGGCTGGTCCCGGATAATCAGAGTTTAACTGTATTACAAAGTATTTTCATTGGTTTTTTCAACTTTCAAATATTTAATGCTCAAAAAAATTTCATGTATAGAATTTGGCTGCTGGCAAAAGAAAAAGAAACCTAATAAATTTCCTGAAATTCTTCTTTACTACTTTTACTATCATTTTTTTTGTATTTTTATTAATTTTCTTAAACAGAAAATAATAATAATTTGCGATGTTTGTTCTCTTGGTAGATTATTACCCACACCTATTACTATACAGTTCATCAGTTTTCGGTATGCGAATTTTTGCGGAAAAGTCATTGTTAATAGCTTTAAAATACTCTATAGCGGGTTCTCAGCTTGAGATGCAGTTTATGGAGATACAGTACATGCTTGCCAAAGTTATTAACAAACGTGACAATGACAGCACAAGGAGGCTTTGTTGCTAGAGTACTTCAATCTTAGACCATACAGTACATGGACTGCTAATTGCAACCAAAATATGGCCAAGGACAGCGCCTGGGTATGAGTTTCAGGGTAAACGAGTCTGTCCAAAGTTGACCGATGAAACACGATTTGAGACTCAACCTTTAAATATCCAAAACTTCAATTAATCAATTCTCTAGACATCCCAAAAACGCACACTTATTCTTATTTGTGGACGTATAGAAGCCTCCAACTTCTGGAGATGCAAACGCAGTGTAGTATTGTACAGGGTGGCCAAATAAGAATGCGAGATACTGTATCTGAGAACCTGTCCACCATAGAGGCTTGCGGTAAAAACATTTATTACTAAAACGGCCACGAGAAAAACCTGGAATAGTATATTAAAGCATAAGTTGCAGAAGACGCTATATTCTAGCACGAGTTCAAGTTTCGAACCTGAGCCGCGAAGGTTCGAATGAACGAGTGCTAGAAAGGCCTTCTGCAACATATGCTTTATACTATTTTCTCTGTTGAGCATTTTAATTGTATTAAAAAAATTAACAATTCTGACATTTTCTGTAATAAATACTTCAATAAAGAAATTAAGTTGGCTACGCTACATTTTGAAAAAATTCAATTTAACAAGCGCGTCAAATACGAATTTGTGCAGTATATTTTAGTTTTTTCAATAAAAAGTGAATAATGTGCGAAGAAATTCTTCCTTCCACTCCTCCAGAACTTCGACAGTTAGCAGAAGAGACTGTTCTTAATTTGCTACCAGGCAATAATTCCACAATTAGGTATTCTAAAAGTTTATAATAATTGTACATTTAGTGACAAAGATTAGTTTTGTAATTTTGTTAGGTTATTAAACCTCATTTGTATTAAATGTGGATTTCTCTAAGTACCTACACTGAATTTTCAATACCTAATGATTTCAATTACCCGTATCGTTAATAACTGTAACATAATGTTATAACAATAACCGTTGAGATAAGTATTAACGTCTAACTCATTCAGGCAGAACTTTGAATTGAACATTCGCGTATATGATCAGCGTGGATGATTTAGACGAGCATGCCAACCACTGAATACCAAATGTTCTTAAAAATCTGTCAGTTGTGGAAAATAGTTACCAAAAATAGTGTTGGAATGAAACTCATTCCAGCACTATTTTTGATATCGGAATACTGTCATTATAAACGCAAAACAGAGAAAATATTTTTAAGTGTCTGAAATGGCCGCTAGGGGGCGTAACTGCAATCTGGAATCTAAAAAAGTGATTTTTCTGTGAATTCCGCTATATTAACCTAACAAAAAAATGTCCGGTCTTTGAAGACGACGATAATCTGAACCTTTTTTGTTTGGCAATTTTTCCTGTATCTCTAAAAATGAAGTGGTGGGGGGTATTCAAAGGTTTCCGTAAAGAACACCCTGTATCTTCGAAACGACTGAACCGATTTTAACAAACTCGGGTTAATTGACAAGAGTTATTCTCTATACAGGAAAAATTGTCAAACAAAAATTGTTCAGATTATCGTCAACTTCAAAGACCGGACATTTTTTTGTTAGGTTAATGTAGCGGAATTCACAGAAACATCAGTTTTTTAGATTCCAGATTGCAGTTACGCCCCCTAGCGGCCATTTCAGAAACTTAAAAGTATTTTCCAGGTTTTGCTCGTGGCCATTTTAGTAATAAATTTTTTTACCGCAAGCCTCTATGATGGATAGATTCTCAGATACAGTCTCGCATTCTAATAATTTCCACTGATGACTGAATCTATTTGGCGTAAACTGTCTGCGCCACATGCCTCTCCCGTTGTTTACCACATGTCTGGAAGCAATTTGGGCGCTCGTACTCTGTACCTAAAAAATGCCAATACTCATCTGGGTGCGTGAGTTTGATTTTGGATGCACCTGCTGGAGCGACGTCATTCCAGAGAAATTTCAAGTCTAAAATTTGTAATTTCCTCTCAAGATCTATCCTGAATTTATTTCTTGTAGGTCTTCCGGTTTACATTTTAAAATAAATGGTTACACTTTCTTGGTTATAGAATTATTAGAGCTTCTATTGATAAAACCTCCATGGAAAAATTATTTCAAATATTAGTGCGCCACGGAGTCATCTGCGCATAGGGCGCCTATAACCTTCTTACCTACCGATATCTGTACTAAAATTGAATTTGGGATTCCATAACTTATTGCAAGGATGCTGCGAGAAAACTAATTGAATAAAATTAAAACAAAATCTGAATTTGCCAAATTAATCTAGTATGTTTGTGACTAAAGAATGTTGCTCGATAAGTTCCATAATTAAAAATTGATTTGAATAGCAGTAATCACAGATGAAGCGCCATACTTTGGTCTCAGGGCTATTATTCAAATTAGAAACCCACTATTATTCAATTTAATTATAGGGAAAGAAAAACAAAAGGATAAATGGCGAGATTCGAAAGTCAAGATAGAAAAAAAGGTCGATGTCAAAGAATTGAAAAACAAAGAACGATCGCATTCCCCTCCAAAACAAAAGGATAAGCATAATAAACTTCGTGAAACGATTGAAAAGCTTAAAGCGAAGAGTGAATTATCGAATAAAGTGAAGAGTAGCGACTACGAAGATAGTGATGATAGAACGAAGGAAAACGAAAAGCGTCATGATAATAAAAACAAGAAATACGACGCTTTTAAAAATAAATTAAAATCGAAAAGTAAAAATGTGAATTGCAGTCAGGATGGTGACTACAGTTCCGGCGAAAGTGTCCATTCAGACGTAAAAAAATCGTTCAAAAAAGACAAGAAGCTTTACGGAACAAAAAATGCGGCAATCGAAGCCTTAACTTTAGCTACAGAACAAACACTTAAAGACATAAATAAGTGGCTCGATGATACTCCTCGACTATCCGAATTTAGTTCCGCCAGTAATTCGCCATCGCATTACATCGGCGCGGAGGAGTTTGAAAATATCGGCAGTAAAATTGATAACGATTACCGCAAGAGGCTGGAAAAACCTGTACCGCGCAAGGATGTTATGGGCAAAGAGATTAAGCGGCGCACGTTTCATAGGGATCCGACTAAATTTTTGAAAAAGCGCGAAGTGCAAAGAACAATCGACCGTTTGCAGCCGGGCAAAAGTAAAGGTAATTTGTTGTCGAATGTGCAGAACGCCGTAAAAGTGGAGGATGTGTTTCCGTTGGGTCCGCTCTCGAAAATTAAGGATACGAAGAATTCTTTAATCGTGAAAACGGCGGAGAGTACCCCAAAGTTAAGTTTGGGGTCTGTTTTGGACAGTTTCGGCAAGCATAAGTTTGTAGATGATGTTAAGAAAGATGATGATCATAAGGCGCCTGTAGTTAAAAAAGCGGAATCGCCGATTTGTGACACGGAAAATCGCAATGTTTCCCCAGCCGAAAGCAAAGCTGAGAAGAAAGAAGTGAAAACGGATATTGCGGAAATAACGCCGGGGAAAGCGACGCCAAATTTAAGCGCCTGGTTCAAAGCTTTTGGGGCGCCAAAAGTTCCGCTAATCCAGAAGAAAGTTGAACAAAAAACTGAAGGCAAAGAAAGCGAAAAAGTTGATGATGGTAAGGACAAAGTGAAGGAGGAGGCTCGTAAAGTTTCACTTCCTGAGGTTTCGCCGAGCACGGACAGTCCGGCTACCCCTCAGGGACAGCCGACATCACGGCAACGGAAAATGAGTACTGGTAGTACAGTTTCGGAACGATCTTCCTTTAGTCAGGACATGGATTCGCCTAGGATTGGCATAGACGAACGATTGGGTGCTTATCCTGCTCCATATCCGTCACCTTTACATCGATCTCCATCGGGAGCATCCCCGGTGATGGCGTCTCCAAGACCCGACGTGTCTCCAAAGTCTACATATCCTACAGTGAACGGCCAAATTAGGGTTGGCTTTTATCAAGATACTGTGTCGAATAAAAGCAGCCCGGAAAAAACTGGGAGCCCACAATCTCCTTATGTCCAGTACTCTGAGCACGTGTACACCCCTGCGAGTACTGAGAGCACCACATATTCCTACGGTAACCCTTACTATTCACAGCTGTCAAATTATAGTACCTCGACCACCCCTGCATATAATGCAGACCAGTCGAGACCTCCATTTTACGATACCAGTAAACCGTTAACCGACCAATATCAAGCTAAGGTAACCCCCAACTATTCCAACTACCAAAACGTGAATGCGCCAGGATATCCCACTACAAACTACCCGGTTTGCTCCACCTCAAGTTCTCCCCAAGAATCTGCTTCTAACTGTGAACCGTATCAGCAGCAGCAGTCGAGGCTTCCAGAAAAACAAACTCCAACGTTCCCCGTCAAAAAGCGCGTGTACAACGAAACGGACGCACCCTCTCAACCGAATTCTACCTTGGAACCAGAAACGTACGACAGAAACTACGAAATAAACTTAATCTCCAGTCGTCAGTTGAATCAGCAGCATCAAGTGAGACCTAGTAGCAGAAACACGCCCCAGCAGTACGTTCATCAAAACATCCCCAATCCGCGTTCGCTCAGTGCTCAAAATCAACCGGCTTCCAATGACTCGGAAACGATGCGGAACACGAATACTTTCCCAGCGGCAACAAATTTATACAGTTACGGCGGTGACCCATTGTATCCTAGTAATTCCAGTGAAGGTCCATTGGATCTGAACGCTCGACCAGATGGCGCCGATAAGAAACTGTACGCCAACATGGCGTATATGGGAAGCGGTGACATCGGTTTTAACAAGACGACAGCGCAGTATGGTTACGTCCGACCTCCAAAGGCAAGTGAGCCACAGCCGAGCGTGCAGGAGGCCGACGATATGATGATGCGTTACGCCGAAGCAACCGACTATAGAAGCGCAGATATTAACATAAGTCAGGCCTCTAAGACATTGCTGGCTCAGCCGGAAATGTCGATTCCGAGACCCAGCTACACGGCGCCCTCGGTGTCGCATATTGTCGACCGATTTCCGAGCGAAAACATGTATTACGCCGACAAAACGCTCGCAGCTTCTCACATGTACAATAAACCGATAGTGACGAACTCTTCGAGTTTGCCAATATTCAGTCAACCTTACGGTCACGATATACAAACGTCGGCGGGCGGGTACAATAGGCAACTGACTGAGCTACAAACTGCCAAGCCGTTCTTACAGCAGACACCACAGGCGCAGAGCTCTCAGCAGCTCGCCGATAAGAAATCGAAACGTCGTAAAAACGCGAAAAATACCCCGCCTGTCGATGCAACGCAGAGTGCCGGTTCAAATCAGGGCTTCCAGTCGTATTCAGGTTTGAAGAATACGGGTAGTATTGAGCCAAGTGCGATATCATTAAAGACGGCCAGTGTAGTTCCCGGTAGTGCTTTTAATTTCGGCCCGGCGCCGACCGGTCTCGGTTTAAGTTCCGGATTATACGGTGACAAAGATACATATCCGAACTTTTTGGAAGATTACAGGGCGGCGCCGAATTATTATATGGCGGCCGCCGCGGCGGCAGCCCATCATAGGTCGGAAACAACGGACAAACAAGTTCGAACTGCCCACCAAACGAGTGCGTCGACAACCGGTAGTTACCCGTTTATCGGCGCGCCACAACCTAGGCCGCCGAGTTATCCGTTTATGTCTCCACATCAAGGCTCACCGTTAATGGACGCCGGTTCGCCATTATATCAGCAGTATTTACAGGCGGGCGTGCTTCATCAGGGCCTCTTGGGACCGCCTGGCGCGTACCCGCCCGGTTATCACCCGGCCTTAAGCATGAGGCAACCGTTTGACTCCATGACACGACCTTGGCTATAACTACTTTTATCACGAAGGTTAGGTTGTAATGTTGATTTATAGGGTTAGTGCATTTGCCAAAGACATTTTTAGTTTATACTGTATATAGAACCATGTACATTGTACATAATAAGCATTTTATACTACCTACTACTTACGCTAGTTAAATTTCATAGTGTAAGTAAAACTCGGTTTTTAAATGTTCAGTTAGTAACATCTTTATTTTTAACCTTTTGTGATTTCCAGAGGGCGGCAAACCGGTTGGGTCTTATCATCTTTGAGATGTAGATTCATAGTTGCATACAAATAAGTCGGCCAAAGTTTCTTGCAAAAGAGCACCCTCTCATTTGCTGACATTTTCTCTGGTCGTTTTTCGAATTCAGACTGGCTCAAATATTTTTAAAAACGTTGAGTGTTGAGAATGCATGTTACGAAAGATTTATTTGATAACACGCCCATTCAAATACTGTTATATTTTGATATATTAATGTCAAAAACTGCTTTTGTTTTAAAAATGTAACATGTTTAATAACAAAAAAGTTATGAGTCAACTGAATTAGGAAAGCGCCACCTGGCGAACAACAGGCGACTCTCTTTTAGTATCTACTTTGACCAACTGTGTACTTGAATGCACAAGCGAGCCGCCCTACATATTTTTAACTTCCGTATATGTAGAATTAGAAAATACATTTTATTTTGTTTTAACGTATTACTAGTTCAGATATTTACACAATGTTTTAACTGTATAAAAATAAGCACGCAATAGCGAGTTATCTTACTTATTAAATTATTTTTCTATAGACTAGCAATTATAATTTAGTTTTGTAATTTTTCTGTGATATATATAAATTTTAACGATTTATAAATGAATATTATATTTGTGTATCCAATGGATAGCTTGCCATCGGTAACATAATTTGGTTTAATCATTTAGGTAAATTAGTGCAGTCATTCATTTATTTCAATATGAATAGAGGCATAGAAACAAATTTTTTTAGAGTTTCAACTTAATCAATAATTCAGATTATATCTCGGAAATTCCACCCAGCAATTTCCGAAATAAATTTCGAGTTTTTGAGGGTAGCTTGGAAGTAAAGAAGACTCTTATGCAAATATTTTAGATACGATTCGTTGAATTTCATTTACGAACTAGGACGTTATTTATGAAATTAGTTTTTGTGTTAATACAGGGTGTATGTGCAAATGGATGGTTAAGCTGATTCTATTTTTACGACAAATTTCTTCTCGACTTCATTGTTAAAATTTATTACACGTGATGCGATCATGAAAATGCTTATCTGATAGTTTGTTACAAAAAATTTATCATTGTTAAATGTGGATAAGTCGGGCAGAAATTTGTTGTGTCTTACATTCTCGTTTCTTACACATAACAAAAATGAGTCGTTGTGATTAACATGTGTATAGTAAATTTTTTGTCCTTCACACCATTACAGTTCGTTTCCTTGTAGAATCCCTATTTTGTTTTTTAGCATGTCAGGTGTGCAAATTCAACTATATTAAAATATCTGTGTGTTTATGAGGAAGTATACAAGATCGATTCATTCACTAATCGCAGTCATTCAAAACTCAGGTGTGCAAATTCAACTATATTAAAATATCTGTGTGTTTATGAGGAAGTATACAAGATCGATTCATTCACTAATCGCAGTCATTCAAAACTCTTTCTCCCTATTTATTTAAAAATGTACGGGATGTTCGTTGTTGATCTAATTTTTCTTTATTTCCTAATAAATTTGAAATTCATTTAGTAATATTATGATTTTTATAGCGGACCAAATAAAAAAGCTACAAATGTAACCAATGTGTCTTAACATTCGAAATGTTTGCAGTTTTGTTCGTCAATTTTGAACATCCTGTAATTGTATAGTGAACGTCGACAATATAAAGTAAACCACACTCATCTCGCACGAACCTTTTAATTAGTTTAACAAATTGTCACATTAAGCTTTAATCATCAAATTTTATTATTGTACAAAATTATGAAACAAATATCAAAATAAAGAAATTGTAAATACAAAATATCTCCAACTAACGATGTACTTTTGAAGACATGTATTGTTGTACAATGAAATAAATATTTAGCGATTTGTATTAATAAATTTTAAACTTATTAGTCTCATCAAATTTGATAAACTTGACTATCTATAAGATACAAACATTCCCAGAGTCCAAACCCTGAAAAATAAAAAAAGTTGCTCTGATATGCCATCACGACTTCAGCACATTTTGTAGATCAGTAGCTTTCATTTGAATGAGAAATTTTGTTTTGATCTTTTTGCCCTGATGTCCGATGGTCATTATTTTTTATCATCATAACACGTGTGCTGTGTCCATAATTTTTCGTACGTACTCTTCACAGCAGATTTCTAACAGTAGGTGAATGGACTGGCTGCAGCCATTACAAACAAACTACAATTTATGTATGACAAAAAAAAAAGCACGCTGATATTGATAAAACCAGTGCAATGGAACCTGTGGCGTTGATACTTAACATTAGGCGCCAAGACATAATTAGAATGAGATGGAAGTGAGTATTTTCTATAAAGGTTTGTTACACTTAAGAAATAAAATGCGAATATAAGTTTCTCTCCAACCGATTTATTAAAATTTACAAAGTAATCTTTTAATAATAATAATAATATTTATTAGTATTTTAGTGCGGTTCTTGCCAAATACGTTTTAAACTAAGGTTTTACAAATTGATAGAATTCCTCCATATTATAAAAACAATTTGACACCAATAATTCTTTTAAATTTTGTTTATAGTTTATTTTTTTCGAGGATGTATTAATAAAACGTGATAGCGAGTTAAAAATTTTAGTTGCGTTGTAACAAAAGTTCTTCTCAAAAAGTGATGTCTTGTGGGATGTTGCTTGTATTAATTTTTTATTTCTAGTGTTATAGGTATGATCAGCGGTTTTGAAAATTGATTTGTGTGCGTAAACGTATGAGCAAATTTCCAATATGTAAGTATTCACCATCAGTCATGATTTTCAGCTCCTTAAAGTATTCTCTACAAGATTGTTTGTAGCCTAAGTTGCATATTATGCGTATTGCACGCTTCTGAAGCCTCAGGATTCTTTCCACACTATGACAATAGCCCCAATTGATAATATTATATCTCACGTGAGAGTGAAAGTAGGAGTGGTATACCATCAATAATACTTCACGACTACATATATTTTTTAAAACACTAAGAGTGTAACAACATTTTTGAAGTTTCAGGCAGACAGTATCTACATGCGGGGACCAACGAAGGTGAGAGTCAAGAGTTAGTCCTAATTTTTGGTAGACGAAGCGCAAGGTTGGCCTAAAATTGAAATAACACCGGCAGGATTTCGAGTATGCGTAAAGTGAATAACACTAGTCTTGCTATGATTAATAATTAGCTTATTATCTTTACACCACGTACAACATCTATCAAAAATGAATTGAGTTTATTTGCCAAGGATTCTTTATTTCGAGATTTAATTAGGATGTTAGTATCATCCGCGTAACATGTTACAAATATTTCGTCACTTTTACATTTACCAGAAATAAATGATGGAAAATCGACAAACAAGGTTGGACCCAGGATAGAACCCTGTGGAACTCCAGATGTGACATACACAAGTACTTCTTTCCCCCGATGGCATTTTTACAATTTGAGTTCTATTTGATAGATATGATTGAAATAAACTTAGAACATTCCCACGGGCACCGTATACGTTGAGATAAAAGGCCTAAACTCCGTACAATCTGCGCATGCGAAAGAAACGTCAAAGTTGCAATGTTATTAATTAAAATGTAGGTTAGGTTATTGTTTTCATCACAGGCTGTTATAATGAATAAACATATTCGTAAATCGTAATGTACATTTAAACTCACAGACTTTTGACGTTGTTATACCAAGAGCCATGTTTCGCTGCGGCAGTATAAAATTCGAAAAGGACAGTATAAGCCCCATGTTCACAAATCGTAACCCAAGACATTTCAAATACCTACGAATCGCTAATAAACCGGACGGCTACTACGGTGATAAAACTGGAACGCTCCTACTGGCATAAATATACAAATTTGCTTTCCTACCGCCTCCAATAAGACAGCCCGATTGTAGATGACAACCGACACAAACAGGCCGTCACTTAACTTTATTGTTTGTGCATTACATCAATGGACCCGACACTCACCGCTAGCACGAAGGAATGGCCCGTCAAAACCCGGCTGTATAAGACCATGCACCAAGTCGTTGGCGTACGTGAACGTCCCTGCATTCAATTTAATGTTTGCTACTTGTAGGTTTCAGTTCTTAGTACAAAGATGCCTTGCAAACGGTCCGACAGAGTTTATGTGCGATTGCAAACCCGAACACAACGTCAGTAAGGTCGCAAAGTTTCTAATGTGCTCCAAGATTTCAATTTGAAATTGCCAATTCACTATAACTAAGGTGCCCTTTTTATTATTCTGTAATTTATTATTATTTAATGTTTAAAATATTGGTAAGCAATAAAAAGTTTACATATTTATCAAATTTATTGTTCTTGAAACCCATTAACTTCTTCTTAAAAAATCAAATAAACGGTTTTTCATGCAATTTAGAAATTAGTAATAAGCACCTTCTTTGGAAGAACCTTTGAGTTAGAAACAGGGAAGCATCTCGACAGACTGAACGTAGGGCTTTCTATCACTTCATTGCAGCGACCCAATACTCAGCCTTCTCTTTACAGAAACTATGGAAGCACAAGTACAAATAAAACTTTATTGTAAATTATGCAGCTATTTACCTAATAGGTCCACAATTTAAGATCGATTCACATTATCTGTCAAGTCAGATTATATCCCACGGGTTTGGTAATCTTTCTCTCGTCCACGGCTCTCTTGACTATTCCGGTTCAGACAATTTCAAATTGAAATCTTGGAGCACGTTAGAAACTTTGTGACCTTACTGCCGTTGTGTTCGGGTTTGCAATCGCACATAAACTCTGTCGGACCGCTTGCAAGGTATCTTTGTACGAAGAACTGAAACCTAAAAGTAGCACACATTAAATTGAATGCAGGGACGTGACCGTGTGACGTTCACGTACGCCAACGACTTGATGCATGGTCTTATACAGCCTGGTTTTGATGGCCCATTCCTTCGTGCTAGCGGTGAGTGTCGGGTCCGTTGATGTAATGCACGAACAATGAAGTTACGTGACGGCCTGTTTGTGTCGGTTGTCATCTACAATCGGGCTGTCTTATTGGAGGCGGTAGGAAAGCAAATTTGTATATTTATGCCAGTAGGAGCGTTCCAGTTTTATCACCGTAGTAGCCGTCCGGTTTATTAGCAATTCGTAGGTATTTGAAATGTCTTGGGTTACGATTTGTGAACATGGGGCTTATACTGTCCTTTTCGAATTTTATACTGCCGCAGCGAAACATGGCTCTTGGTATAACAACGTCAAAAGTCTGTGAGTTTAAATGTACATTACGATTTACGAATATGTTTATTCATTATAACAGATACCAGCTTGTGATGAAAACAATAACCTAACCTACATTTTAATTAATAACATTGCAACTTTGACGTTTCTTTCGCATGCGCAGATTGTACGGAGTTTAGGCCTTTTATCTCAACGTGCACCGTATTTGTACAGTTTTTCTAGTAGTAAATTGTGATTCACCGTGTCAAAAGCTGATGAAAGGTCTATAAATAAGCCCACAGTGCTAATTCCTTTGTCTACCGCTGTAACAATTTCCGAAACAAATTCACACAAGGCGGTGTCGGTCGATTTATTTTTTACAAATCCATGTTGAAAACGATTAATAATATCAAAACGTAAAAGGTAGTCCCTTAATTGTGAATTAATGGCATGTTCAAAAACCTTTGAGAAGCTCGATAATAAGCTTATAGGCCTATAATTATTAATGTAGTGGGGATCATTCTTCTTGAACAGCGGTTTTACCAGAGCACACTTAAGTTGCGTTGGGAACACTCCGGTCACAAAAATAAGATTTAATATAAAACACAGTGGACTGGCAATTGCATGTTTGCATTTTTTTAAAAGATTTGAAGACACTTCGTCACAACCATATGAAAAAGACGATTTAAGCGCATCAATAATAGAGATTATATCCAAAGGAATAAGTGGTTTAAAAAATAAAGACGAAGATAATGCTACAGACAACTGCGGCACAGAATGAATTAAATTTGATTTGCTGTCTGTGTATAATTTAGTAAAATGAACACTAAACAAATTTGCAGCTTCCTGATTATTCACTAGACTGCCTCTGTCATAAATTTGTATTTGGGTTCCTTTAGTATTATTTCTATTGGTTAAGCTATTAACAATATCCCAAGTGGTTTTCGTTTTGTTATTAGAATTCAAAATTTTGTTATTATAATATCGCTTTTTTGCAACAAGAAGTTGCGTCTGATACAACTTATGAACGTAACGGTGAGCTTCTTTAAATCCTATGTGTAGTTTTGATAAATCACTAAACATTATAACCTTCTTTTTAAGTTTCAGTAGATCACTATTCATCCAAGGACACGTACTCTTTTTATTCGGCAAACATTTTGTTAAAGGAAAGCATTCGTTGAAGGTATACTTAAATTTCTTAAAAAATATATGAAATGCATCATCCGAAGTAGATTGCGCATAAACTTCATTCCACTCTTCAGATAGCAATGAATTACAAAAACGATTATAATTAACGTTGGAAAACTTCCTTCGTCTAAATGTATTATCTAATTTGGCAACATTTCGAGTACTAGAAACTTTAAGTAGCTGAGCATTGTGATCTGATAAGTCTAGGTTAATATTAAGGACAGTGGACGAAGATAGATTTTTAGTAATAAAAAAATTGTCAATACATGTTGCAGATGTCTTAAAAACACGAGTAGGTTCTTTTAGAGTTGGTAACAGAGCAAAGGCAGCAGTTTTTATAAAACATTTAAGGCCGATTCAGAGTTCCGTAACGGTAAGAGGTACGAAATAAGAAATAAACGGTAAAATAAGAACTAAACGGTAACGTAAATCCGTAAGAGGTAAAGGAAGACCGTTTGTGTCATATGTTGTCAAACTGACGTTTGAGATTGTAGTACCAATCATATTTCATATTGCCTAGCAACATCAACTGACATCCATATAATTGTGTTAAACTAAACTACTGTCAGATCAAACAAATCAAGTAATCGACTTTTGCTTTCATTTGAATGCGTGCAACATTCTAATGAAAAATTGTATGGCATATTAATAAAAAAGAGCAGTATGAAATAAAATGTTTTACATTATTTGTATGTTAAATCAGTTAACGTTACTCCGCAAGGTTCCATAATTGCACCGCTGCCGATGATACTATCACAGTTACATCCACTGATCTTACTAAAAGTGGGGAACAAGATTATAATCCTGCGGTAAAAAAGTGGACTACTGTCAATCGATTGGTAATAAACGACAGTAAGACACAAAAAATTGAATGCACTATGGGAAGTTTCGTCGAGATTAAAATGATAGATTTTGTGAAAAATTAATTTTAGAAACATATCGCGTACCTGCGCTTAGGCAACAGTTGTTTTAATTTGAAAAGATTTGCGTTTTCGGTTATCGGTAACAAAAATAATGACGCCGTCGGGAGAACCACTGACGTATGTATCTACCTGTTATCGCGCCACTGTTACCTTGCGATGCCAGTTTGGCAGTCTGTAGTCGCAGAGAAATAGTGTAGTGAGAAAGTTCTTTTTTTATGAGTAACTGTAATCGACGCGTGTTCTATACAGGTTTATTTTTAAAAAAATGTACATGGGTATGTCGTGTAATTTAAAAAAAGCTCTTTTTCTAGTTTGCCAATGTATCCCTAAGTAAATAGGGAACACGAAAAACAATACGGAAATCGTAAATTAAATATCGAAAGCGACTAAAAGTACTCACAGATACACTAGTATCATCATCGCTCTGTAGTGAGAAGAAACTTTAGCTCAGCTCTCTCAGTTTCATACCGTCATTGAAAGGAACTGGCTGCCTTTAAATTTCCTAAGTTTTCGTAGTGGAAAATCGACATTAACTGCAATCAACTCATTTGCTAAGGGCAATGACATGAATTTTTACTGCAAAATATGGCATTTACGGGATCTACTAACACGAAATTTGAGATTAAAATATGAAACTCCAGGAAAGATTGCCGGTCACAGAACACTGGATCCTGGTCTACAATCTATGTTTTTCTTAAGATGCGACTTCCGGGATACTATCGTGGCAATTTTGAACGAATAGTTTTCTTCATCAACATTGGCACGATCCTATTCCGGAAGGCGCTCGCATCTTAAGAAAAACATAGATTACAAATCGGCATATGGTGTGCTGTGACCGGCAATCTTTCCTGGCCATTACCACTATACACAATCTGCATTTTAAAAGTTCTGTTTTCCGAACGACAAGCCATTCAACTATAAAACTTTAGTTTCCAGTGCGACTAGCATTTCTAGTAATGTCGATAATTAAATAGTAAAGGCAGTCTCAGTGTTGAGAGAGCAGTTTGGAAAATCCATTGCACACATGGCTAATTGTAATGCTGTTCCCGTGTCGGAAAACTTTTAATTTTATCTACACGCCAGGACACAAAACTAACAATGTTGTGTATGAAAAAGCATTGCAATAAGCACTACGTTTTCGAAATATTTATTTCAATTCGAATTGAATATTTTATAGCTGACAGGACAACGTCCGTCCGTCGGGTTAACTAGTTAATACAATAATTTTAAACTGAAATTTCGCGTTAGTAGATTTCGTAAATGTCATATTTGTAATAATAACTTGTTCTTTTCAATATGCTTTAGATAATTTTCGCTTCTTTGGGTCATACAAATCCTTTTGCCCACCCGTTCGTCTGTGTGCTATAACTGCCACATACTTTTTATAGCTTAATTTTTGTCCGTCCGTCCGCCTGTTGTTCGTGAGCAAAGTTCATCAAAAATTGTTTTAAGCAAACTCGCCGGAAATGTTATTTAATTATTTACTTACTCTTAGTTAAATGTCCGAACGACTATGTTCTACAAAAATGGCTGTAGTGCTTACAAAAATATCACTATAAAGTTGCAGTGTTGAACGTATTGCTTTGAACTATCAATAAATCAGCTTACTTTCGAATTTAGTCTCGGAATCAATTCGTTCGTCACTGATAAACTCCCAGAGACCTTAAGTCCCTATTGACATATTCTTGTGCCAGACTCTTTGTCTGTTAAAATGTTTCCAGCTACAATGTGAACACAGTTTAGTTTCTAGATGTTTCATATCGCTTAGTGTGGTTTAAAGTAGTATTAAAGTGTATAAAAATCGCATATATCATCTATGATATTATTTTTCCCCACCAATGTAGATATATGGGTAAATAAAGTATTATTTTCATCCCAGAAAAAAGTCTGTTGCCGTTGTCCGGGCTGCGTATTGGCAATCTGTACTATTATTCAGAGGAGCTCTGCTCTGATTCGCAGTATACTATGGCTCCACGTTATGCGCAATTTGATAATACATTATATACTGCGATTCAGAGCACCGATGTGGTTTAGTGCTTGTTTTATTACTAAAATTAACACCCGTTTTTTTCAAATTTGGCTTTCACTCCATGTTCTACTAGTTCCAATTCGATCATTAAAAACGTATTCTCGTTGCACATTTTACCCAATACCTATTTATAGATCGTGCAGTTTGAGAACCTTAATTACACACAAACAACGAAAAATATACTTTTCTTGCAAAGCGCTTTATAGAAACCCATGTTTCAGAGCTCTAAAGTTTAAACCATATCGGTGCTCTGAATCGCAGTATATAATGTATTATCAAATTGCGCATAACGTGAAGCCATAGTATACTGCGAATCAGACCAGAGCTGCGCTGAATAATGGTACAGAATGCCAATACGCGTCCGGGCTGTTTTTAGCACGATAACACAAAATTGAATGGGACAAATTGCGTACATTTTTTCAGTCCTTGCCTCGTGGTAATAGTTTTTACTGGCTCTAGGAGATGACAAGCTCGCCTGACGGCTCGCTAGTCAACTTCTCCTATCGCCAGTAAAAACTCACTTACCTGGCTAATAATGTAAAATACTATTTTAGCGGCAGGATGCGTAAAATTAAGAATTACGAAACTCCTAGCTGTCCTTGCCAAAAGGAGGACTTGCAAAACGATTATTTCTAGTAATCCTGAGTCCTGACACATATTCCCGACATGCGTTTATATTGCAATTTTCCTTATAAAGTTTTGATAACTAAAATCTTTCGAATTTTACGATTTTTAAATGAAAAAAATGAAGGAGTTAAACTAAACTGCGGTGTTTCGGAAGATTCTTATTTTGCTAGGTATTAATTACCGTTACTCAGGATATATTATTATTATTAACGTATGAAACCATATAGAAAAGTGAAGACATATTTATTTTATTTTCATGGTGTTAGGTCAATCGTCTTCTTGTGACCAGTCATGCAAATTATATAATAGACCGTTACACTGTTCCGCAGGTTTGATATTTGGTTTACTAGAAACTAACAGTGAGGTGTCATCAGCATATAGTGTAATATTAATCGTAGGTTCTACTTTAATGATATCATCTATAATAAGAGAAACAGTA